CCACGCGCCGGCGGAGCATCGCAGGACGTGTGCACCGGCGCCACGGGGCACAACGAGGTGGTGCGCGCCCGGGCGCTGAGAAGTTTCCTTGGCGGTCCGCTCGATGGGAGTGGCTCGCGAGGGGCGCGGCGCGTGGGTTGTTTTTACGGGGTGGGTTTTTTTCTCCAGGGGAAAAAGAGAACCCGGGTGTGGCTTCTGATGAGGGTGCCAAAGCTTGTGGTGTGTGGTGTTTATTCTTTTTATCGTTGGGTTTTTAGAGGGGAACCAGGGTGTGCCTTGTTATACGGGTGCCGTATTGGCGTTGGCTTTGTACTGGGGAACCAGAGCGTGTCGTTTTCTCAGGGTGCCCTTTCGGAGTTGGCCGAAAACCAGGGGGAACGCTTGGGTGTCCCTTGCTGGGGGTTTGCGTTCTTTGGCAAAGAGCGGGGCTTATTTGTTTCTGAAGGCGCCCTTGTGTTTCTTTCAGCGGAACAGGAAACCAGACCATTTTGGAGGTCGCACTTTGAGACCTAGGCTTTAGACATGGGACGACCTCTCGCCAAGTGGTGAGCGCCACCTTTCAAGATCTTCCGCTTCATTCCCGGCACCCCCAGAATTTGATTTCCCCGAGGCCCGGCAAAGCTTGGGCGCACGAAAACTTGTGCTCCGGGGCAAATTTGGACCCCCAACAGCTGCGGGCAAGACGGGGACTGAACATCCACCAATTCGCTTCATCTGTTTTTTGTTCCAGTTTACTTGGTGGCTCTTAGCCATCCCCCTAGCTTTTTCGCCTTTTGGTGTTTAGTGGTAGTTTCCATTTGACCCACTAAAATTTACACTTTTGGAGATCTGAGGGCAGCTCAGTTTACTTTTCCTTCAGAAGCCTTCGCAGCACCCAGTGCCCATAGGTGTCCTTTTTGGTGGTTTTGCTTAAACAATAGAAGGCCCTGGTTTTCCTGGTGGTTCAAGCATCTACCAGGGCCATCTATTTTCCAAAAAGGACACCTATGCCAGTGCTGCCAGTGCCCCTTTTTCCTAGGCCCTTAGGGCAAAGAGATCCAGGTGGTCTACGACCCACAGAAGGTGTCCTACGTTGAGCTGCTGAAACTCTTCTGGGAGAAACACGCCGGGGCCCCAGACCCGGCGATCCAATCCTTTCGGTTCCGATGCCATGAGTTTAAACAAGAAACGCCCTACTGATTTCTTATGGAATCGGCTCTGGGATTTTTTTGGTTTGTCACAGGGCGAGGAAAGCACAGCTTTCGACCCAATTGCATCTCCATTGGATTCCCACCCGGGTTCAAAGTTGGCTGATAGCCCATGATGAGAATCGTGTTGTGGTTCAAGCCCATTCGAGCTGGGAGAGATGCGGAGATGGGAAATGGAGTGGAGTCTGAGCCCAAGGAGAAGCATCCCACTGGGGTCCTTAAAGGGGACCGAACAAAAATGGGCTCATCGCAACATTCCCTGCTTATCGGACCAGCGAGTTATTTTTGCTGTAACGACCAAACAGTTTTCGTGAAAGGACCAAGCAGTTTTATCTTTTCAGGGCCAACCCACTCGGGAAGTTAGTATCAGAACACACCAACCTGAGACGGTCCAAACCTAAGCTCAATGCTTGCGGGACTTGAACAGATCCCACGCAATCGGACCCCAACCTTCAAGCGAAACAAGCAGTTCTGACCTGCTTATCCGGTGCCCGGCGGGGTTGATTTGAACACCAGGAAACAGATCTTTACTTTTGTTCAAACAAGAATAGTTGAAATGTTGATCTATGTTTGATCTTCGAGGAAACATATCTTTTTTGATTTTGAATGGCCAATAGGAAATCAATTCGCCAACTTCGGCTCATGGCTTCGATTACCTGCGGCTTGGTGAGAACCCCTCCCCTTTTTCATTTGCTTCAGGTGGTGAATTATTTACCTGGCGTTAAAGGACACTTGCCACCAAACAGCTCATCTTCAGTTCTATGGCACAAGCAAATCCTCTTGGTTTCCAAGGGAATGATGATGACAGGCTTGTATGATTGGTGCTGCACAATCAATTGAAACAGTGTCATGGGTCAGGGACACTCAAAACTTCACAAACGTTGTGGGGTGGTTAAGTGGGTTGCAGGAGCAAACCCGATGGGGTGGTTGCTCCGGGTGTCAAAGGCAACCCCCAAAGTAAAGTAAATGCCACATTCCCTTTGCTCACCCACACAAAGGGAGTAATGCCATGTGCGCTGTCACGCTGGTGCACCCTTCCAACATCCAGTAGTGCTTGTTTCTTGTCAAAGTTGCGGCCGGGACTGGGACTACTTTTTTTCAGCTACCCCTTGATTGTGGTTTGGGGGGGGGTTGAACCCTTCTGACGCCAGATGGGGAAGGTATCCGCCGTAACCAGCAAACCAAACCACCAATTAGGAGCAAGGCGTTTCGGTGTCCTTTTCAAGACCCCGTGGGACCCTTTTCCTTGTCCCACATCCAGTGGACTGGATGAAGGCTCTCTCGGGGGGTTGTTTGCTCCAGGTTGGTGAATTGTTATAACTGGTTTCAACCATGGTTTCAAAGTGGAGCGAAATGGATTTCGCGACCATGCACGGGTTTGGGGTGTTTCGAGATGCCCATATTTCCCCTACCATCACCCCACAAGGAAACCATAAAATGGCAAAAGGCGATGCCTAAACTTGCTGGTTCTCGGGGAAGGACCTGGGGTGCTAGGGATTTCCTCAAAGGAACCCAAATCGGGGATGGTTTTTGTCGGGCGTCGTTCCAATTTTCATTCCCTGCCTATCGAACCAGAAAGTCATTCATATGGATGTCTCAAAATAGGGGTCCCCTTTTCGGATGGTGTTAAGAGGAAACCAAAAGGACACCACCTAGCTGAAAGAGGGTCCCCATTTGAGCAACACCCATATCATTCTCCACCTATCTTCACCGATCTCTATCCACCCTTCCCACCGGGGGGGGTTCTTCCGAGGATCCCACCACGCTGAACCAGCAGGGAAACGACTTCGGCACCCAGTACCGTTCAGGCGGGAAGGAATGGCCCGGCGTTGGGCGGTGAGCCTGCTGGTTTCATGGGGGTTGTAGCAAGGCCTAGAGAAAAACCTGAGTAAGCATGTTGGTGGAGCCAGAAGTCAATGGCAGTTTCAAGGATGGCAGGAAAGAACAGGACGCTTTGGCGTCAGGTGACAGCTGATACATGCTCTGTTTCACTCACCAATCCTGAAGCAAGTGATAGAATACATTTCTACTTGGGCCTTAACTCTTCGGCACACTACGACGGGAGATGGTCCACACTGCTCTGTTGGGTGTGAAACTGCCCAATCCATGGTAGTGATAGAATACATTTCAGGGAAACCAACCAGCAGGGACACAGGGGGAACCAGGGATAACGTAGGATCCCCCCAAAATGCACCAAATGCACCTTGACTAAGTTGAACATGGGAAATGGCACCAAGGGAATCCCCCCATATCCCCGCTCCCTCCGTATCCCCGCTTGCTTGTCCAAACATTATTGGGCCTTGTTGACTCGACTTAGGTATCTACTACTACACTGAGCAGCAGCGGCGCCTCGCGGAAGCCACCCAGGACCGGGTTGCTAGGCGTTTCGAGAAGCTTTTCAGCTGAATTCCTCCCGCGGGTTGGCGCGGCTTTTAGTGAGCCATGGGCATCCGTTTTGGGTTTGTAGAGGGAAACCGAAAGGACGCCACCACTCTTCATGTCTATTGGTATTTCTTCGCGGTGGGGGGATTGGAGGTCGCCTATTTTGTCATCAAGCCATCGGAAGTTCTGCTGCTACACCAGCGACACGGCCACATTTGCTCAAAGCCTTCTGGACCGAAGGTGAAGTGGTTCAAAAGGGAAACCGCAGGAGAAAAACCGACACGGCTTGCGAGTTACCTCTGGCTCGGCTCTTCTCGGCTCGATGATGTTCTCAAGTTTTGAATAAAGACATATGGGTGGGTGCGTGCAGGGATTCAAGTTTGACATCCATAAGTAGATAGGTAACAGGGAAGTGATGGCACTCAACTGTAAGGACAAGGGACAGAGATAGAGATAGAAAAGTGTAAGGAATTCCTGTTTACCCATCTGGACGGTTCTTTCGGTAGCACTCTCTGACACAAGAACTTGTCCATTCCATCCCTTTATGATTTTATGGAAATGGTGCAACCGTCACCAAAGAAGCGTCTCAGAGCACTATCTCATGTTATCTCTTTCTCATGTTACCTTCTTTCATTTTTATTACATGAGTTTATATTGCCCTGCCCCCCCTCCAAACAAAGGGTTCCCTCCTTCGGAAGACGACTAGGGTACCAGCTTCGTAGCGCCCGGGACCGAAAGCTGTTGGCCATGCCCTAAATCGAAGCGGTGCTCACGTTTTATGGCGTTGCTTGTGTACCCCATTCCAGACTTTCATCAAGCTTGAGCTTTTCTATATGGATGTGTCTCCTCTTTTTCAGGCTGCCACCCCAAATGGATTTTGTGTTTTTCCTGTTGGTTTCCCTACCAAACCAACGAGAAGGAGATTTACCCCAAAAGAAGACAGACTCTCAGGAGCGGTATGCAGACGCCATTGGGTCTGCGGCGTGGGGCAGCCGGGGGCCGCGGTGAAGGGGATTTCCGAATTTTTAACCCAAAAGTATTTTAAAAAAAAGCTTCGCAGGGGATCAGTTTGGACCGCCGAGGTTGGAAACCACAACTTTGAGGCCTCGGACTAACAGACCCGTCACTAGGGGGGTGAACCCCTCCAACAGTGAGAAGCCCCATGAATCAACCAGGGGTTTATTAGTCTGACATTCACACTTCAGCATTTTCAGCTCGAAAAAGTCTGGTGGATTCCAATGTGGACAGGAGGATATTTTGCAACCTCCTCCTTCTGGGCTTTGTTTTTTCAAGGTGGCCAGCAAAATGGTCTCTACGTGTCCAGGGCATCCCCCCCAATAAGGCCAAACAATGGCTGGGGCATGTTAGCAACCCTCCATAATGGTTTGGACAGCCGCAACCCTGAACAGGGGCATTGTTCTCCAAACAGGGTTTGTTCCATGAAGGATGGGCAATAAATGGTACCACCTTTTATCCGCGGAGCCTTCAGCTGCTATGTGGGGAAGGTTTCTCTGTGTGCTTTTCGAGCAAACATCTCTTGCTCTCATGTTTTCAGGTTGCAAAACATGAGAAGCACCTGAGCTGATCGCCTTCTGGAGGGGTTTCAAACCCTCTACAGGAAGCGGGGGTTCAAATCTCAAATCACCAATCCAAACCACCAATCAGAGGGAACCGGATCATATCCCTGCGAGACTAGAACACTATTCAAAATAGAACAAAAAGCGCCAGAGGACGTGATTTCTGGCCCATGGAGAACCCCGAACCAAACAAATATGGGACCCTTAAACCAACCACTTTTGACCCTTTAAAACTGTTAAGGGTGTTTTTTTGAGAGTTTCCTGTTCAGGTTGGTCCAAAGGGACCACGAAAGGAACTCCACCTTTGGCAGGGGTCCGCCCCCAATTTTGACATGCACACCCAGTTGGGACTCTTACGGCCCCGCGCAAATCCAGGGAGCATCTCCACCGAGATCGTGCCGGCGCCGCAATTTTACTACGCCGAGGCGAGCCGAAACGAAAATGTGTACTTCCCACCATGATTGGATTCCGTTGGTGTCCTTTGACACGAATCTTCCTTCATTGAAGTGGTTTGTACTTTACTTGTTGACTTGACGCCGACTCAGTATACTGATGGCGTCCATATTTAAATAGATCACCAAACAAAAGCACAAAGATAGTATAGAACAAGCACAACACCATTTGATGTACCACATCATTTTCATCATGATTAGTATGACTATATTCGTCTTGTATCATTAATTACAAAGGACGGCTCACATTTTTTTCTGAATGACATGTTACGCGCGACGATTGGTTCACTAGCGCAACATTAATATAAATATATATATATATATATACTATTGCACAGCTTCAATCGTGTGTCTCGTTTGTTTGCCCCGTCCAACAAATTGGCGATAAACCTAGTAGTGTTCGCATCATTGTTTGTATGAATGCCAGACAATGAGCTAATGTGCTAGTAGCAGTTTAATCACGGGAGGTTGTTGCCATCTTCTGCACAAACAGCATGTGCAGTTTTTGGGGGAAGGCCATGACATTGTGCTTCGCCTCACTCATCTCCAGCACCTCAAGAGCCGAATATCCTCGTCGGCCGCGTCCGCCATCATTGCCATTTGACGATACACCTCGCTGATTGACTCAAGGAATTTCTGAGCAGCTTTGGATCTTTGAGAGGGACGTGGCCATGAGTTTTAATAGGGAACCGCTTCAAAAGTGGGCTTTTGGGTATGAACCTGCACCCGAATGATGTGCACCCAAGGGTCTCAAACCGACGTGAGGTTCCATTTGGCTATACATGTGTGTGTGTGTGTGTGTGTGTGTTTGTGTCTCTGTGTGTGTGTGTTTGTGTCTCTGTGTGTGTGTGTGTCTGTGTGTGTGTGTCTCTGTGTGTGTGTGTGTGTTTGTGTCTCTGTGTGTGTGTGTGTTTGTGTCTCTGTGTGTGTGTGTGTTTGTGTCTCTGTGTGTGTGTGTGTGTTTGTGTCTCTGTGTGTGTGTGTGTCTGTGTGTTTGTGTCTCTGTGTGTGTGTGTGTCTGTGTGTTTGTGTCTCTGTGTGTGTGTGTGTGTTTGTGTCTCTGTGTGTGTGTGTGTGTGTTTGTGTCTCTGTGTGTGTGTGTGTGTCTGTGTGTTTGTGTCTCTGTGTGTGTGTGTGTTTGTGTCTCTGTGTGTGAGTGTGTCTGTGTGTTTGTGTCTCTGTGTGTGTGTGTGTGTCTGTGTGTTTGTGTCTCTGTGTGTGTGTGTGTTTGTGTCTCTGTGTGTGTGTGTGTGTCTGTGTGTTTGTGTCTCTGTGTGTGTGTGTGTGTGTGTTTGTGTCTCTGTGTGTGTGTGTGTCTGTGTGTTTGTGTCTCTGTGTGTGTGTGTCTGTGTGTGTGTGTGTGTGTGTGTGTGTGTGTGTGTGTGTGTGTGTGTGTGTGTGTGTGTGTGTGTGTGTGTGTGTGTTTGTGTCTCTGTGTGTGTGTGTGTCTGTGTGTTTGTGTCTCTGTGTGTGTGTGTTTGTGTTTCTGTGTGTGTCTGTGTGTCTGTGTCTCTGTGTGTGTGTGTGTGTCTGTGTGTTTGTGTCTCTGTGTGTGTGTGTGTCTGTGTGTGTGTGTGTGTGTGTGTGTGTTTGTGTCTCTGTGTGTGTGTGTGTGTGTCTGTGTGTTTGTGTCTCTGTGTGTGTGTGTGTGTGTGTTTGTGTCTCTGTGTGTGTCTGTGTGTCTGTGTCTCTGTGTGTGTGTGTGTGTGTTTTTTTTGGGCATATGACCCCCCCGCCCCACCTAAATGCCCATGTTGGCCACTTGGGCGGTTTCTTTGACAGAATGTCCCGCGCCAGAACTTTCACCAGCAGTACGACGCCAAGCCCAACGCCCGGGGCTACTGCGGCCTGCGGCCCCTGAATGTCCAGCTGGACATTTCCGGCCTGGAGGAGCCTGATGCAGCGATCCGAATAGCGGGAAGGAGACATGGGGAGTTTCGGGGGAAAGGGTTTAGGGGGGGGAGAAATAGACAGGGAGGGGGGGAGGGGTGAGGGTTTGGGGGGGAAGGGGGGGTTTGGGGGGGGTTGGGTTGGAGGGTTGATTGGTTAAAACGGGTTTATCAACTTGCGATCGGTGCGATAGGGAACGGGAAATGGAATGAGCCGCGGGGTTTGGTCCCCTGAAAGGAAACCCTGGCTTTGGTCCACTAGGAAACCACCAGCTTTTGAATGGTTGGGATCATTTCATTTCTCATTTCCTGAGCGCCAGCTCGTTTATCAAATGGACGATGGACCTTTTTTGGAAACCCAAAGGTTGTTGAAGCGATCGCTTAGCACGTGTTGGCCAGGGCTGTGGCGGGGGGTTTGGGGCAGGGGGGAGGGGGCGCCGATACAGCTGAGTCGGTGCGTCTCTTTTGGAAGCGGATGTGTTTTCTTTGGTTGTTTGCGCCGCGCATGTTCAGCCTTTCCACCCTCACTCTGTTGGAAGAGTCAAAGTCACTGCACACACTTGCAGGGCATGATTGTGGGCAATATGGTTTTAGCGTCGTTTTAGTGATACCACAAAAGCTCCCGTAGAGTAGACTCATGCGACCGGGAATCCCATGCAGGTATTGCAGAAAGGGGCTATTTCTCAGGACCACTGGGCTGAGCCTTAAAAGGCATACCATCGGCGTCCGGGGATATGAAGGCTGCATAAGTTGCTGCCCTTTCAAATTGAAGAGTGGGACAACTTCTGCGAGGATCCGAAGTTGAATAGTTGAGTTCGAGGGACCCCCCCCTTTCACTTGTGAACAGGAGCGAGAGCCGGCCGACGCCTAATCGGAGTTGACTGCGCGTGTCGCGACAAGCCAATTGCACAGTGAGGGACCTGAGGGATGCCACGTTCGGAATGACACTGTGGAAGCGCCACCTCTGCATTGTTGATATCTTCCTTGGGCACCTCTCATTTCAACCCGGACTTCGATCTTCGATCTTCGATCTTCCCGCGCGCTCTGCGCGGCTCATTTTTCGGCGGGCAAAGCGCCGCGCTCGAGAAAAGTTCTTTCGGAGAAAAGCTCATGGCCGGCGGCGACTTGGGCAGCGGAGCTCATCCAACGAGGCCGCCACAAAATTTGGTTTCGGTCAGGTGGTTAGGGGTCAAAACCCATGGGATCCCATTTTGGGGTAGGTGAATTCACCACCCATTTTAGGACCTATTTTAGTGGTTGGATTGGTTGATGTTCACTGGGGGCTAACCGATTTGGATTTTGATCCATGGATTTCCATGTTCCAGTCTCGCAGGTTTTCATGATTTCGAGCCCCCTAAAGTTGGCCTTGGGGAAAGAATGAGAGCTAGCTCCATCGCTGAGTTCAGGTTTTGCACATGCAGATAAATCTGCCGTCCATGTTGGTAGAACCAAAGGGCGAATGATCAATGTTTCCTGCCTCACGTGCTGTTCCGAATGGCAGGACTCACGGTATGGCAACCATCAACATCAGGAACACGGATTTTCTCATTTCCATTCCGGGAACAGATCTTGACCGTGGCTCATATTGGTGGAAATGGGAATCGACCATTCTCGGTGAACAAATTGTGGGGATAGAGTTGGCGTACAGCAAGGCTTGCCACTGTTTGAAGCATAGGTCCAGTTTCTTGCATGGTAATCGGTTTGGCGACTTCACAACGCCTATCAGGTCCTTTGGTTGCAAGGGCAGCAGATATGGATACCACTCGTGGATTTGTATCATGGGGGTAGCGCCAAAATGGGTGATTTCTTTTGGCTTCCCTTTAGAACCAGCCAAAAAGGAGTTCCCACTGCAAAGAAGCGCCCTGGGTAGTTTGGTGCCATTCATTTGCAAGTGGGACTCGTTTCTTTTTTGTTTTTGTTTTTTTTCTCCGAGATGTTCGGACGAACAAGAATCCCCGCCCCGTCCGCGAGTTTGTTGGGCTCACTGAGGACGAGGCCTCGTCCGAACTTTCGTCGCCATGGCCATGGGGAAGCGCGCGGGCGCGGTTCGGGTGGCAGCGCTGTGCGCAATGGCCTGGGTGCTGCAGGACTGGGCAACGCTGCCCGTTGGGAGGGGGGCTCCTGAAAAACGGGGATGTTTTTTTTCCATTATGAGGTGGACCAAATATGTTAAACAGAACATAACTTGTTTTGGGGCAACTCAGATGTGGGCCAAGTTTTTTGTGAGTGGTTTAAGGGAGACACCCAACTGATCCAATTCTGGTTTTCGAACTTTGGAATTATGGAGTTTGCAGATTCTGCAGTTCGGCTGGGTGAGCCGATATGAGCACCAGGCTACACCACCTACCAACTGGTGCAGGATTGTGACTTAGACGTTTATATGCTCTGAGGGATCCGTCCTTTCAGGAAAATGTTTAATCCTAGCATCCAGAGACACAGGCCCCATGGCATTCCGGCCTTTATTTTTTTCTTTTTCAGATGTTCAGGATATTAGATGTTTCTTAGATGGATTCATGACATCGATGACATGCCCCACTGCAAGTTGAGCTTTCAGCAAGGGATCAACCGCGGGAGCTGGGCCGCAGGTCCTAGGCTGCCTGGGGGAAGCTGGTGCGTTGGCACTCGCAGACGTCTTGCGTGTAGGGGCCATGGTTTCTCAGTCCAAGGCTAAAAACGGAAACTGTCACAGTTCATGAAGGGCTTGTTCTGTACTACCTGTTTGACGTATTTATGGATGTATAGTAGTCCCGGTATAACAATGAAAAGCTAGTTTGGTAGAGTCTTGCAGGACGCATTCTCGATGACAGCTCCTGGGATGCAGTGGGCGGGTTTTTGCAAGTCGGGGTCAACCCTTCAAGGGGTTTTCAAAAGCATGACTGTAGGAGATGGTTTACCTTCAAGCCAAACCTTTTGTTTATTGATGTCACCTTGGACTCAGATTGAGTCGATCATTTGGTGGGGCCAGTTTGTTCTGAGCCAGGCAACTCCGGGCTTCGACGGGGCCACGGGCGTTCCCAAAAGGATTCGGATCTCTAAGGACACGTTTTTGCTGAGTGGCTGAGTCCTCGCGCTTTGCTTTTGGGGGTTCCGGGCAAATTGGGTGGCTCCATGGGTACGGTCAACATTGACGCGCCCATATTTCTTGAGCTCTTGGGAAGTCCCGAGTTCGCTTGTCACCTCTTTTTGGATGAGTCTTCCTATGGCGAGCTCACTTGGGGCTAACACGAGCTCACCAGGTACGCCCTTCACTTGTGAATCCCTTATTGCAAAGTGCTTTTGTTGCAGAAACTCGCCATCCACAGCGTTTAGGGGGACCGAAATTACGAAGTCCAGCTTGGAGTGGAGGCGAACTTTCGGTTGGGACCATCCGGATTTCCAAGCCTTTTTGAGGTTTAGGATTCAGAGTTCAGGATTCATGTGGCGAAGTTCCTGTTGGACATTCCATCAGTTTCTTGGAATGGGAATGTGTGAAAACGGGGGGGCCTTTCAGAATGGTTGTTGGTGTCCCTCTGCACAAAAAACGAGTACCCTCAAGTTCCGAAGGCCCAGCGCGCTGAGGTGAGCTTCGGCAAGCATCGGGGGAAGACGATGCAAGAGCTCGTGGAAGAGGACGACAGCGGGTGACAGTTGGACGCATAGGTGTCAGGACAGGTTTGGTAAAACCTTAGAAGGGGGTTTTTAGGGTTAACACCCTTCCAGCGGGTGTTTTTGGGCCCTACTGATTGGCCCTGTTCCGGTTTCACTGATTGACCCTGTCCAAATAGGAGTTTGTCAACCCAAACAGGGGTCCCAAAAACGACACCCACGTGGCCTCCGACTTGGCGACTCTCTTGAACACGTGACATTCATCCACCTGGGATGATGGGACCGGGACGTCCGCCAATCAAAATCTTCCAAAGGGGGTGTCCCCAGGGCTTTGGAGCCGATCCAGGACAACAAATTGCCTCAAGCTTGAGGTCAAATGTCCCATTTCTCAAGATAGGGCTGCAACAAAGTGGTTACTCCTTTCAATACCAAGCAGGGGGGCCCGAATCCCGTTTGAGAAACCAACTTGACTACAGGGGGCCGAAAGGAGCTCTGCTTTTCTGGGAGCGCTAGGAGAATGGGTATGGATGAATCAACTCTTAAGTGATTTTCCCTTTACCAAACCTCGCTTGACGCTTGGCAAACTCATTGGATCCCGATCGGCGTTTTGCCCCTGTCGTAGACAGGGCTGCTTTCGATCCATGTTCCCTTTGGTTTTCAAAGGGTGGAGAACCCACATTGCCTGGTTTTGGTTGGTTTTTGGTACTGAATCCCAAGGGGCACCTCGAAAGAGGTTGTTGGAAACAAATCAGGATGTTGTGATGGTCCCTTGGTAGATTGACCCACTCGGCCCGAGTTGAAGTGTTTGTCCCTCTTCTTGCCTTCGCGCGCCTGGTGCTGGTGCCAGGATCCTGGGTACTGTAGCTGGATGTTGCAAACCTACCGCGAGGACAAGGAGAACTGCAATCCCGCATTCAAAGCCCCGCGGAACAGAAAATTGGGGGGGATTGGGGCCGTCCCAGCCAGTCAAACGCCAAAAAATCCGAAGTTTGTTTGCAAGAATCACTGAGGGTCAGCCGGGTTTCTTTGAAAAACCAGGCGAGAGGACATTGTGGAAGGAATTTGGGTCAGTTTTGAACGGGCGCCACCAGGAAACCCATGGCTCGGCTCACGTAAGGGTTCTCCGTTCAGGGGGTTACAACTAGGGCTTGCTATCTAAGAATTAACCCACCTTAAAAGCGGGCTCCGAGGAGACTTTGGATCCAAATCGCCCTGGGTTGTGTGGAAGATTTGTTTTCCACTTGAGCCAACACATAATTCTCAGATGTCCAGATCTAGTTCAGTACAACTAAGCTGGGTGGAACCTGCAAGCATGCTTTGCGATTTGGTGGGGGGGAGGGGGGCATCAGTTTTGTTGGCATGGGTCCGGATTTCAGAGCTCATGGCCCTCAAGGCCAAAGGTGTGGAACCCGACAGGAACAGAATAGAAAAACTGACCGTCTATCGGAGGTCAGGGTAAACAGCAGAGCAACCACATTCATTCATGGCTACAGAGTGACGTTGAAGGCCAGTGAACTTGCACTATGGGAGTTGCTCTCACAACAAATCTTTTGCCGGGATTCGGGTTGTGAACCGATGCGCAGCAGCCTGCTTTCGGATTTCCTTCGGAGCCGTTCTCCTCCGGCTTTTTGGGGACCATTTGCGTGAGAGTTCTTCGGTGTTTGGTTGGGCCAATTCGCTCAAGTGAGAAGGGCTTCTCCTCACCGTAAGAAATCTACCCCAAAAACGGAGAATTGTTCCTTTTGGTTTCCCCAGCCAACTTAGGAAGGCGACCAACTCCAAACCACTCGCAGATCCCTTCCCCCCCTTTGCCGGATCGCGGATCGAAGCGCCGAATACCTCAGGCAGCTGCCGAATACCTCTTGGACCAGGATGACATTGACGTGGAAGAGCTCGAACAGGCCGACGTCTTGTGAGATCGACCCAACTTTGAGCCAGACGAAGCCCTGTGAGATTGTCGTTCTACCCCTTTTTGGGGGGCCCCAAAAAGGAAACCCAGAGCCAGGGCTGGAGCATGTGTTTTTCGAGAGGGAGCCTCTACATCAGGAACCATGTTTTGGTTTGGGTCGTAAAAGGTCCGTTGGTTCATGTTCCAACTCGACTTTGTTTGGGAGTGGTTAAAAAAACAAAACATCGTTTTTGGGAAAGGCCAATTTAAGGTGAGTTTGTGCTTTGGGGGGTGGTTCAAAGGGCAATTTCGGGGAGCCCTGCTTCATAGAGGCGCTGTTCCCGAAGCCCGAAGTGATCCGATCCGGATCCCGTCTGCAATGGGTCACCCGGTCGCCGATTCCGACTTGCGGCTGATGGCTCCAAATTGAACAGGGATAGGAGGGGCAAACCGCAGGTTTTGGTCCATTCCACTTAGGGCAAGCCATTTTTAGGAATTCCGGTTTTTAGGAGCAGCCGTTGGTCGCTGTCGCTCCCAAGGTGTTCGAAATCGGGAGCAGAGGGCGGGGTTGCGACCGCGACCTGTCCCATGTCGAGTCAATTTTTTGCTGGCCGAAGACATGGCTCTGGCAGATCCTTCAGATCTTGTTCCCCTTTTTCCTCAAAGGTAAAGGAGGGTAACCAGGAAAGGGGTCATCCTTTCTGGCCAAGTTGTCTTAAGAGTGGTCTATCACGCATAAAATGACCATCGCCATTTTGTCAACCCCCTACTCCGGGTTCGTCTTTGGGCATTGTTTTGTGTTCTATCTATAAAAGAGGGTATCGAATGATAAGCCCCAGCCCTCTCTCCATATTTCTTGTTTGGGTCTAGGGGTATCTTCCCCATTCTTTCCAGGGATCCTTCTTTTCAGGAAACCATGAAAAGAACGATGCTTGAAACGAATGGACAAGGAATCAACCCCTAGATTGGTTTTAGATATCCCTTGTACCATTTTTTGAAGGGAAGCTCCTTCGAGGGTGACGTATCGGGCATTAGTAGGTTCCTCGCCAACCTCCAGCCTCTTGTCGCGTCGAATGTTTTTTTTTGTTGGGCTCGGTCACTGGTTTTGGCTGGAAAGGGAAACCACAAAGACACCAGCCCTGAGAGACGTTCCCGTTTTTTCTTTGAGACTCTGTTAAGACACACCCCAGGGCTTTTTTTCCCCCCCTTTTTTTTCCGGGGAAAACCCTGCAAACAGGCGATTTTCGCGTAATTTCCCAACCCCAAACCGGTTAGGCTCCCAAAACAGACGAGCCACCCAGAAGCACGTCTCCAATTTGGACTCTGACTTAGGTGATCAACTTCGGAAAGTACAAAGGCCAGGGCTTCAAGCAAGTCATGGACGAAGACCCCGCTGCTTGGATCGAACGAATTGCTTCGGCCTTTGGGCTCAAGAAGGTCAAGAGGGAGCTTCAGGGTGTGTGTTTTGCGTGGGGAGTTCCTTCTTCCGTGTCTAATCGTCTGTCGTTTCTGGAGGTTTGGGTTGAGGTGAGTTGGGGATTAGCAAACGTTGCCCTTCGCCGTCCAGGATCAACATAGTCTAAACAATTACTGTACATGATTCCATCCTGATTCAAGGGATTGTAAGTTACTTGAAGACCAAACTTGGTTTTCGGATGTTGTCAGGTACAAAATCCCATTCCTAGGTCCCCCAGTCGTGCCCTTTTACCATTTTTTTTAGGGGAGGGTTCCCCTACTAAAATAGACTACAGAAAGAAGCGTACCCTTATTCTCACCTCTTTACTGGAGGGGTTGACGCAGCGTCACAACCTGTTACGAGCTGTGTTTTTCAACGGGTGCACATCTTCGGCGGCTCGGGAGGGCTGTGGATTTTGTTTTGTACCTCAAAAGGTGGTGGGGTGGACATGAGTTGCGGGGTTTGAATTGACATTTAAGGAAAGAGGCTGGACAAACCCCTTGAATGGCCCGCATAGGTGTCCTTTTTATGTTGGTTTGGTTAAAAATAGATGGGTTCCACTGGCTTAGATGGGTTTTAAACTCCATTTACCAGGGCCATCTATTTTTTCCGAAAGGCCTTTGACTACTCAGTCTCTCACTGCCGGCAAGTTTCTGCAGGGGAATCTGCGGCAAAGTTGTTTCTTCTATTTGCAAGTTCTCAATCACGGTGTCAGTTTGTGAGCTCGAACATGGGTGCAGTGCTTGGATAGATAGAGGACTCAACCAACCCAACCAACCAGCCAGCCAACCAACCAGCCAACCAACCAGCCAGCCAGCCAGCCAACCAACCAACCAACCAACCAACCAACCAACCAACCAACCGACCGACCTACCGACCTAGCGGGCTTCTAGGTTCAGCCTTAAATCCGCTTGCCTTCCATCTCCGAAGTCTCCGTTTGCCGAAATCTGAAAGCGGAGGACTACGGGCAGTGGGTGGTCGGCGCGGCGGAGGAGACTTGCTGAGGTTCTCAGCCGATCCGGAAAAAAAAAGGTTTAGTGGTTGGGTTTCCGAATCTTACCTAATTACTCCAAGCGAAACTTCTGACAGATCTGAGGACAGCCCAGCCTTGTCCACTCTGAGTTGGTTATTTTCCGCACTAAGGAAACAGATGCAAAAAGCGGGAGCAACATCCTTCTATAGCAGCTCAACCGACATCCTGAAGAGCCCGAAGAGTTGAAGCGACTGTCCCCCCCCCCAAAGCAAAAACAAGAAAACACTTCCTGGATCGCCAGTTGCGATCGCTTTTTTCCATCCACTTTACCCCCAAAGCCAGCAACAGTGCCTGAAAAAAGCGGCAACTTGGCTATCTAGGTTGAAGGAAATAACATCACTTGGCTGTGGGTCAAAACTAATGGTACCATTTTGGGGTAGGTGAATTCACCACCCATTGTAGAACCTATTTTAGTGGTTGGATTGGTTGATGTTCACTGGGGGCTAACCGATTTGGATTTTGACCCATGGCAACTAAGAAATCCCTTTCCACTTTCAAGCAAACCAATAGGTACCTATCTTGGTCTTCTGGATCTCCAAGACCTCCCTCTCCTGCTTGGAAGCGATGCCCATGTGCTGATCTACCTGAGTGGTCCGGGTCTTTCTCAAAGTGGCCAACACTTGGTTGAAGTTTCAACAACAAAAACAACAACTTCTGGCTTTAGGCTGGGATCCGAACCTCTTACATGAGAGAAATGGAAAATGATATGTCTGTGGAACCCCCAGTAGTGCCCTTATACCTTGTTTTTTGGGGAGGGTTCCCCTACTAAATAGACTACAGAAAAAAGAGAAACAAAACATCAGGTACCCTTATTCTAACCTCTCAAATCTGGAGGACCTAGTACCTAACCAGAGACATGGACTTTTGGGGTTCGGGAGATGCTTGGCGCAGCAACAACCCGCGAGGAGAGCGGCAACCCCAACTTCCGCGCCTTCGCGGAGTTCGCGGGGGAATACCTCGAGAAGGCGGAGGCGCAGGCGTCCGCCTGAGTCACTGAGGCGCCGGGGCCGGTGCCGCCGGGTGTTGAAGGGAGATGTGGATGGGTGGCAAGGGTGGAAAAAAAAAGCAAAAAGGCATCAGCACTGGAAGTGGTAAGGTTGGAAAAGAAAAAGCCATCAGCACTGGAAGTGGTATATGAGTGGGCAAGTGGTGACCAACATTTTCTAGGTTCGTGTGTGAGGGGCCATGTGACATTCTTGAACCTAAAGGAGCTGTTGCAAGGTAGACGAAGTCCGTCAGGGCAGAGACGTAGGCTTCATGCGGAGAGTCCATTGGAGTCGGAACCAATTCAGAGCTCAGCCAGCTTCCGAGGCCCATTTTTGGTTCACGCGTTTACCGATCGGTTTGGATCTCAACTCCTGAGTGCATGGACTTTAAACTTTGTTGATGTTTTTTTGGCCAATGAACTCAGGAAGTGAGTGATGGGTAGGGCCAGCCACCAGGCGCCAAACAACACCAAAACCGGCGCCAGAAACCCGCAGCCCGTGGGTGAGTGATCGGTTTGCTGACAACATGTCGCAATGTTCCTTCAGGTGCCCGCCTTGAGTCTGACGCAACACATGGCTGCGTCAGTCTGTGCCTTCCGTGCTCAAATGAGTCACCCTGCTCTTTTTTCGAGGGTAGCCTCTTAACCAACTCAACGTGCACGTGGCCAAACCGACAAACTGAACAAACGCGCAGTAGCGGCCCCACTTTGGCTAGCTCATGTTCGGCAAACCACGTACAGTAGCCGAACCCAGCGTGCTCCCAATCAACATTTGTCGAGAGGAAGAACAAGTCTGGCGGGCCAGCAAGAGGCAGCGGAGTGGGTGTTGTGCTGAGAGCCTGGCCGCAATTGTTATCAGCGCATATGCAAACCAAGGTCAAGCATGACAGCTTAAGTGCAGAAGATGAAAGTAATAGGTGCGGAATGCCTTGTTGGCCCGCCTTTTGTGTTTTGTTTTGTGGTCGAAAGTGGAGAACCTGGATGCCATGTGAATGAACAATCCTTCCGGCTGTGGCAGGCGAGGCCAAAAGCAAGGCAACGAAATCCACTGGGGGGCCATGTGTACGCCATTGGAGCCCGAAGACCTGAACACCTGGAGGAACTGAAACTCGTGGGGCAATGGCACGGAGACAAGCCAACATTTTGGGGGGTTCCAACCCATTTTCACAGACCCATGTAGAGGTGCCGTGCTTTTTGTTGGTGGTTTATGGTGGTTTTCCTTCAGGTAGCCCTGAGTTGGTGGTTTGGATTGGTTGGGATTCGGATTTGAACCCTGGTTCTTGTGGGAAACGGGAAACCACCCCGCGAAAAACCTCCAAACCAATCCAAAAGTTAGAGGGAAGCTGATTATAGCATCGACTAAGCTCGTGTTTGGCCGTTGATCGTGCCAGGCCACAGACGAAATTCCGCGAGGACCGAAGACCTCGCTGAGCGCCAGATCGCTTTGTTCCCTCGAGAGGTTTTCGCCTCTTCCGGGCCCAATGGTGGCCTCAATTCGCGGGGTTCATTTGCATTGGCCGGGTGCCGGAGTTCCGGCTGACAGCTTGCAAGGCAAGCGAATTGCAGATCAGCTAATGAGAAGAATGCAAAAGAGACGGTTGTGCGGGCTGGGGGTATGAAATCAGCTGGGGACGCTTTCCGTGTTCCGTTTGAACCTTAAGTGCCGGTTTTTCACGGAGCTGAGCGTGATTTTTCCCCGAAATGAGCCAATGACAGTTTCTAAGCACCGAGAGTCCACCCGATTTGGTGAACATGGGGGCCGTATGGGGCTCAGCGAAGTTCCAGCTTATCCTTCCTCAACTCCTCAACCTTCCAAGCCTATGCCGCAACAGGATATGGCAAGCTTTCGCAAGACCCCCAGCATTTTGTCATCTACATCTACATCTTGAAAGCGGCTTTCTTCGTTTTGAACCATTTCTTTTGGGTTCCAATATGGGTTTGTGTCAAGATAGGGGGACCCAGAACATGATGGCCTTCCGTTTGACTCCCGTTAAACTACCCCAAAACACAACAAACACAACCCCATCTGGGTTCCAATGGCAAACTGGACAGGAGGCCGGCCTCTTTGCTCGAGGCTCCCCGAGCCCAGCAACGGATGCTCGAGTGCATCACCGAACACAATTTGCTCCTTCAAGCATGCGAAGCTCTTCCCACTTTTCCCCAAAAAGGAAACCAGGGGACATTGTGATGTTTCCATTTGAAATTCGCAGGTGGACATTCAGGTCTTAGCAATCTGAATCTGAACTAACAATAACGCGACAATTCTTATTGCCCAGGATACGCCCCCGGAAACCCCTTTCCGCGTGGTCGTTTCTCCGCTGCCTCCTGAGATTCGAGGAGTTTACGCTCCCATATCTATGGGGTTGTCGTTTTGTAGGGCCCCCTCTCCTCCGCAAAATGGTGGTTTTCCTGTTGGTTTCCCTTTTTTAAGCCACACAAAAAGAGCAGCCTCACACACAGACACACCCGAGCAACCTGACCCAATGGCCTCGCTGAGTGCCGCAGTCCTCGTTGGGGCCTCTAGGGAGGAAACAAACTGGGAGAAGCGGCGGAGATGGGTACAACTCAAAGTCTTGGAGACTCTCAGCCATCCGGTTCCTTAGCTTTTTTGCCGCTTTTCAGTTGGTTTAGTGGTTGGGTTTCCGAATTTAACCCACTAAAAGTTAAAAGTTTTTAGGGAATCTGATGACAGCCCAAGGTTACGTAGCTTTTATTCTTTGTTTCCACGTAGCAAGGTACCATCTTGGGTACCTAAAGGATGAGCCACAGCCACAGATGGGCGTATTTTTTTTTGGGGATGTCCTGTTTGAGTCTGGTTCAAAGGAAAGCGACGAGGAAAGCCGAAATCCATGTTGGGTCCAAATCCTTTCGACGTGCCCAATATGGCTGTGGTTTTTGCTCAGAACATCCTGCACGAGGTGCACACCGAAGGCTCCCCAATGAAAGGTAATACCCATGGACGTAGATTCAGCTCGGCAAAAGGATGTGTACAGGATGTTTGTTGATTGCCAGACTTGTGGCACTTGTTTGGCTTTTTGCCCTTTTGGGGTTCCATCCTTTTCCCCGGTGCCAGCCGATTAGGTTTTCACGTTGGGTCCAAAGTGCTTGGGCGATCCGGCGAGGCCGTCGATTGAAACTGGTCGGGGAAAGCCCGTTGTGGCAAAAACGCCCACCGCGGACCCATCTGGGGTGCTACCGGTATGGGTCGAGATGAATCCACCAAACAAAACCCGTAGGTTTTAGTCCTTGCTTTACATGAGGGTTTCATTTTACGTAAGTAAAGTACCTATTTTTGACACAAAAACCCGAGGGTTTTTACGTAGGTTGTTTAGGATACCCCTAAATCAACACGTGGTGTTCCGGTTCGGCGCTTCCGCATGCGTGACCTGGGTGACGTTCACAAGCGCCTTCGACCTCAGGCCTGATGAATGTTGACCCCATATCAATCAACCAACCAGTTTGTTTTTGAAGGGGGAGGCCGTCCAAAAGTGGTCTGATTCCCGACTAAACCCAGGGAAAAGCACCCCCCCTGTTAATAAACTGGTTGGTTGATTGGTAGGGGGCGAATATTAAAGTCTTTGGTTGTTCGGATGTTCCGTTGGGAAACGAGCTCCGACTCCCATGACTCCCCAACTTGCGGGGCCCTGCAGTGAACTTGGCAACCTGCATGACTCGTCGCTTTGCGGGTCGGGAAGTCGGAAGTCCTCAGCCAACAGAGGCGCCTTGCTTGGATGAGCGAGCCCACGTGTTTTTGGTGATACCCCTGGGGTAACAGGGAAGCCGAAAAGGGCACCGAACCCCAATTTCCCTTGGTTGTTAGGGGCCGAAACAGGAACCCTATTAGCCCCTCACAGGCCTTGTTGGCCGCAATTCGCCCCTATTCGCACCAATAGGCTATTGGGATTGGGGGTCCTCAACCACCACAAGGGCCAGAATCAAAGCCCGGGTAGATGAAGGTTAGTAACGGATACTCCCAACCATAAATTGCTGTGGACATCCGCCTTCTTAATTCTTTACATGGTTCTGGGATTACGACCATTTTAATACCGGCCTTTTGACTGTGACTCACGCGTTGTTGCTTTTTCCTTGAAAGGAACCCACTCGTTAGAAAACCCTTTTAGGGTCACCCAAGTAAGGGCCTATAATTCTTATTGTGAGTCTTCTGTTTTGAGCAAGTGACTCGACAGGACAGCTGGAACCTCCACATGTTGTTTTTTCACCGAGGAGCAGCTGGCTCCGGGCGCTGCGCCGATTCTTGGCTTGGAATGAGTTATCCCCCCCCCCCCAAAAAAATGGGTTGCGGTTTCCTTTTGGTTGCCCTTTAACAAGGACTTCAAAAAGAAAGAGAGACACCCAAATGGCTGTTAGGTACTTGAAGGGTGGTCGATTGCCCTTTCTAAGAGTTACAAAAGGGGGAATCCCCCTAGGAACCACAAGGTTGCCAAAGCTGCAGTTTCAGCTGACTGGGGGAGACTTCACCAAGCTACCCCTTTTCGGTGTCAGAATGGGTTCGAATCCTGTTGGCCCTCCTCTCATGCGCGCTCCGAATGTGCATGTTCTTTGTTTGTGGGCCGAAGGGCTCTCTTCTTCTTTAAGACATTCCTTTTTATGTCAAATTTTCTTGAATGCTGGGCTCTGTGCCCTTTGACCGAAAGGTTCCAGTGTAGGGAATCCAACGGACAACCCCATGTCCTTCCCGAGCAACCCATCGACTGGATAGATGTCGTCCGCTGAAAATCACCCGCGCTCGAAGCCAGGATCGTGGATACAGCCCGGCTGTTGGAGCGCAACCCAAAGGCCACATTGGAGCTCTTTCAGGAGCGCCGCAACCGGAAGACTTATGAAAGCACAAGCCCCTCACCTTTCCCCCCAATCCCTGCATTTGCTTAAGTGTTTTTCTCTTTAAATCCCTTGTTGGTGTAAAAAGGAATTCATCACTACTGGAAATATGTTTTTTCCTGGGGCCTTAACCAAATGGAAGAATTTTGCAAAGGTTGCAGCACTGTTGTAGTGTCATAGAACAGTTGTAACTAGCATTTGTTGTTTCCTCTATAGGTTTTCTTTAGACTTCCCGATTCAGCCCCAAGGCTTCTCCGAAAGGTTTCCAAAACTCCTTAGCCCAAGGCGTCCACGAGCTTTCTATTTTGTCCCAATGGGCTGGTGGGGTTGAGGCTTCATTTCCCTTAGGTCATCAAGGGAATCAGCCTAGAACCAAAGAAATCCATGGCGAAGGGTTGCCTATGGAGGAACTGGGGTCACTGATTGCGGATCTAGCACAGGTGCGGCATACATCGCGGCTCTGAACAATAGGCTCAATCCTCTGCTTCCTCACCGTCCTCACCCCCCGTATTTAGCTTAAAGACTCCTTATACTTCCGATGGTTAGGCCTAAGTTATGCCCTTTTCTCACATCAATCAATAAGCTGAGTCTAACATTCAAGATGGCACTGGGGACCAACAGAGAGCTTTTTTTTGGCTTTTCAAGGGACATGCAAGGAACTCTTGGTTCGTTGCTGGTTCGACCCTCTCGTTGGGAAAATGAAAGCGATTCCTAGAACTGTAGAAATTGTCTTCAAGTCGGTCTCTTGATATTCCTCAAAGGGCTTCGTGGTTGTTGAAAGGAAGACAAAGATGTGAGCTGAGAAAATACATGTCGTAGTCTTGTGTTGGGACACAAAGGCGCCACCGAATTGTCCCAGGTCCTTTTGAGGAAACAGGTACACTCCCTCAGACGAGCATGGAAACAACCACAAGGCCACCTAGGTACCCCAGTAGTCCCTTTTACCCTTCTTTGGGGGAGGGTTCCCCTACTAAAATAGACTACAGAAAAAAGGGTACCCTTATTCTAACCTCTCTACTGCAGGACCTAGCCACTGTAAATGTAACCAAGTCTTTTAAAATGGTTCTGGGAGTTTCCATGGAATCGCCTGCGGGTGGCCGAATGTGATTGTCGTGTCGATCGGTTCGAAGCTGATCGGCTGAAAAAGCGAATTCGGTGAGTTAACCCTCCGCAGGGTTTTGGTCCGTTTTCTTTGGATCCATCAAGGGTAACATTTCTACGGGGTTCTTAACATTACCTTAAAGTACCCGGTTGTTCAGTGCACCAGGCACCAGCTTGCTTTTCTGTTTTTTCCCCCCGACTTCCCCACCAACATGCTCAGCCTCAAAGGGTTCCATTTTCAACGTGATGCTCCCAGAATCCCCTCGAGATAGTCACTTAATGTAGTCGGAAATCCCACAAAGGCATCGCAGAACAGGTCCTTGATGTTGACCATCCACCCTCAAATGTTACACCGCTTCCACAGAGCACAGCACAAACGTGAGCGGGCACCTACCGGTAGGGAGGCCATCGTTGTGGGGTCCGCATGCATAATTACAGCGCCATCAGATCAGTTGAATCCAGTCCGACTCAGAGGCTTTGTCCGCCGGACATTTGGGCTCAGAGTGCCGGTCGGCGTGCCAATTAACACCCTCCGCATGGCCAAAGGGCGGCCAAATGGCCGTTTGAAGTTCGGTCAACATATTCAGTCTATGGATTCGTTCGCGAGGAACATTGGGGGACTCAAGCAAACATCCCGTACAAAAACTGGCAAACGCGCTAAGTGTAAGTTTCCCTTGTCCTTAAGAAGGACCACATAAATATGTTGACCATGGCTGGGTTGCGTATGTTGGAACATCCCGACTCAAATCCACTCACCGAGAAGCAAGTACATCATTACACGCATGATGATTGTGTGATATTGACTGAATATGGTTTAAAAGTCCCCGACAACCGCATTCTAACTATTTTTGCCTTTCTTATATTATGTCATTTATCTTTCTCGCACACGTCAGTGAGCCTTTTCAGCCATGCGTCCGACTCCAAGCTTGAGACTTTTGGCTGGACAAACAAAGAATGCCAAAGGGAAAACCATGGGCATCCCCTTTTGAGACACGCGATTTCAGCGCCTTTGGTGTTGCCCACAGAAAGAAACCAAAGGACACCCGCCGATTTTGGAGCATACCTGGGTTTGAGCCAGACGCACCTCACTCCCTGAGTTTCTGGACTAGTCACTTTTTTGAGTATAGTAGCTGCTTTGACCCCCTACTCAACCATCCAGTGAGTCGTACTTCGCAGACTCGAGTCGGCCCGCGCACTCGAGTTGACCGAGCCATGTCCTGGCTCACGGGCAAGGTGGCCTCGTTGGTGCGCGAGGCGGGAGCAAATTTTTGGGCACCCGTCTCGGGTTGGATGGTGGAAGAGGTTGGGTGCACAGATGTGCAAAGTAGCAAAATATCCCACAGGGTTCTTGAGCTTCCTTGAAGATGAGCTGTATTTTGATTGAGTATTGTTGGAGACCAGCAGTGAATTGGTATGGGTTTGATTGTTGCAAGCCAAACGATGTCTTAGGGTTTTCTTGAGTGTGTCAGTCGATTTCTTCAACTTCCAACGGCCACCCAGCGAGAGTTTGGGAGGTTCAAGCGCCCCTGTTTGATTTTCTCAATGACGATCGAATGTTTGCATTAAAAAAACATAATACAAATAGATGTACCCAAACGTTACCCTATGAGGAAACTCACCAAAAGGGGTGGCCAGAAGGTGATGTTTGCTTCCGTTCCCTCGTTGGAACGGCTCGCTGCGAGCCATGAGAGGCGCTGAAATGGTCCAAGTGTTTAGGATCCGTTTCGCCGGGGCGGACAGGCGTGTTTGACCTGGGATGATATGTCAATACATCCCCAGGTTACGCAGTAAAAGAGTGGCAAGGGCCGCATTTAGATCATGAGACTTGGGTAGCTCATTGTGGCTATCTTCAGCCCCATGGTTTTAATGGTGGTTTGAATCCCAGGGTGATATGAAAACAATGGTGGCGGAATCCAAATAGAACAGCTTTTTGCGGCACAACATGCCACCAAAGTTAGAGGCACTAATTTGTTTCACAACCATCTCCCCAATGTGTCGTGTTTTGCTTCATTTGACCTCCGGCTCGCTTTCCAACCGGGGGATTCATGTATTCGAGGTACCTTTCCAGGTCGGTTTGAATGACAACCTTCAGGAAAACCACTATTTTTAGGAGGTAGCTGGCACCAACCAAAAGGACTTCCGCCATTTCCACCTCCCCTCTTTTGACAAGCCATACCCATGAACAACGGGAAAAACCCCACCTTTGTTGTTCGGGGTAAACAAACACCTGGACGTTTTGGGGCCAGATGCACCGGGCCGCCCGGGCCGAGTCGGGCCACCCGGGCGACGCGCGACTCGCCGACAGGGCCCACAGCTCTCGGCGGATGAGTTGGCGCAGACCTTGGAGCAGCGCGCCAAGGCACTCAGCGCCCCGCGCTCCGCCGGGGGCCCCGGGTCGCGAGCGGTTTGCGTGGAGTGGAGTGGGACACACACGTCGGGGGGTCTGGGTTAGACTTAGGATACTTTTGGCATTTTAATTGAAAGTGACTCGAAGGGAAGCAAACAACAGAATGTAGATTCTATAACCGGGCCTAAGTCCAAGCATGTAATGTTGTCAGATGAATCAACCAGTTTATCCAACTCGGGGGGTGCTTGTCCCTGGGTGAAATGCGGGGAATCGTACTTTTGGAGGGGCCCCACCCCCACATTAATAAACAGGGGGTGATTAATCTGGGGTCAAGATGAGTTTTCCCACGTCCAACGAGGATTCATTTCGGGCAAGGACCGGCTGCAAGATTCCTTAGGAACCCAAAATGGCCACTGCTCCTTCCACTTTTCGGTAGAAAAGTGCAACAAACGGGGAGCGACTTGCCTGCGGCCGCCTACCAAGAACACCCTATTGCCTTTGCCGCGGACCTGACACGAATTCCCCTCTCATCCCACTGCCAGTGGGAGGAAAGGAGGATCGTAGTCAGGTGTTCTCATTTCAGTACATCTCTCGAACTCCCATCATTGTTGGGTTCATTGCAAACCAACATGGCTCCCTTCAAGAATAGTTTGAGGGTCCGGGTCTGGGTGGCCCCCCGCCCCTCCCCCGATTTTGTCGTAAAAGGAACCCCCAAAGGACACCGACGCCGTGTTTTGTTTTGAGGTTCAAATCCTAAAGAAAAGACGGGCCGCCCGAACAGGTCCTTTGTGCAAGCACGACGTTTCCATATCGGAGGCCGCGTGGCTCCTGGGGCACTGGCTCGAGCAGTGCAACGGCTCGGAGGCGTTCCCCGGGAGCGCGGGAGCTTTGGCCTTGGGGCTTCGGGAGTGTTCCTCAAGCCTGTGGAAATTCATAAGGAATTAATCACAGACTGGATGTGAGAACCATAATGCTTGGATGAAACCATGGATTAATATTTCTCACCAAGAAACTGCACGGTTTCTTAGGATTCCCGAGGGTTCCAAATTTTGGGGCTCCGCTTTGCGCGTTTCGTGTTTGGGGTTTGCAACATGCGCGTCTCACACGCGAGCGAGGCTCACGTTTCAGGACTCGGGAAGCGAGGATCTTGGAAGTTGGCTGACCTGGTCCGAGAGTGCGGGTGGCCTGGAAAATTTTGCAGAAGGATGTACAGAAGCGCATTTTCTGAGGGCTGACCCAATTGATTGGGATGCAGTGCTATAGATTTAAGATGATGATGCGCGTGCATGCGCACAGACTACAATGGAATCATCCCGAGTGGTCAAAATGCAAAGGCGTGGACCCCTAGATTCCAGCGCCGCCCCAAGATAAGGTTCTCATCTCAACTCATGTTCAAGGCCGGTTGCGCTTGGCTAAAAAGGATGGCCGTTTACAGGGTTTCTCAGCAGCTGTTTCAATCACGCCTGTTACAGTCCCCAAAACCATGACCTCCCTGTGGGGAGTTTCGACCGTAACCCTGCGCCCGGTGTCCCTTTTTGTTTGGTGCGCTCCTTGCCAAAAAATGGTCAAAGTTAAAGTTTTTAACTAGATTCTCGAATTAACTAAAGCTAATCCAAGAATGACATTGTCTTCATTATGTCCCTTTAATATGTTTATTTATTCAATGTTTGGTCACTAGTTACTTGATGTGAAGATGAATCGAATGCGCATCACCCGGCGCACTTCGGCTCCCAGCTAGACAAGCCCTCGCCTTTTTTCGTGCCGCTCATGAGATCCGTTGAAGCCTACCAAGATACCGAGAATCCTGGACCTAAGCGGATCAGGTCCAAAGACTTTCAATGGGTCCATTCAGCCGACACCTGTCGAGCTCTTGGCCTCGCCTTTCGGTATGCTTCAACTGAGCTTCATGTTAATGTTGGACTGAAGAGGGTCCAGCTGACTGGTTCCATTCTTCAGGGGGTCCGTGTAAAGAGGGTCCAACATTAGTCTCAGATCCAAGAAGTTGGAACTTTTTTTGCTATCGTACCAGGTCAGCCAAACAAGAATATCAGGAACCCGTGAGACCTTGCCCCGCGAGGTCTTCGTGCTGCCGCGCGGAGGCGAGTGGCGATCGCGACTCGCGACAAACCTGTTGGCTTGCTTGTCGCATCCTTTTCAACTCCCCTTCGAAAAGGAGTTGAATTCGGAAGGCAATCCTGAACCAACTGCTGTTCTTTTGGCCCGAACTAAAATGCTTTTCACTTAGTCCAGATGCCCAAGCCGCCTCCGATCCCGCCGAACATCCAAAACCACCACCCATGAAATCGCGCAGGTTCCGAGTGGCACATCGGCTTCCAGCAGGTCCTTCTGCGCAGCAGCGCCTTCGCGCCTCGGAAGGGGTTCTGACCGAAAAATGGGCGGGTTGGGATGGGCAGGGAATGAGAAATGGAGTCTGAACCCCACCAAAACCCGGCAACTGGGGTGCATTTTGTTCCGGGGACTGGGGGAAACCACATTTTTTACTGAGCACAAGCAAGAAAATGGGTGGGCGTTGGATGGTTTTGCTTTTGGCGTCCCTTTAAACCAACCCCAAAACGGGCACAGAGCCTTAAGCTCTTCATATTTTGTCGACAGGTTTGGGTCCTGGCCTCGTGGAAAGGTACACTCATGGAAATGAATCGCCTCAGTGAAGCAGGTGATGGGTTCGATATTTGGTTGTTGGACCCCCGAACAATGTAGGACTATGACAATAGATGGGAGGAGAATGGTAATGATTGGGGAAAGACAACGACACCCAATCACCCATTCACAAAAACCTCTCGCCCATCTCACTCTCTGAAACACCGCTCTCATGTTTTAATATAGTATCCATCATATGGCTGTGGGTCAAAACCAATGGGATCCCATTTTGGGGTAGGTGCACCACTCATTTTAGAACCTATTTTAGTGGTTGGATTGAATTGGATGTTCATTGAATCGGATGTTCACTGGGGGCTAACCGGGATTTTCACCCATGGCCATATAAATGTAGCCCATGTACCCCATCCGGTCGGAGACCGAGACGGCCCCTTAAGGTCCTGAGATCACAGGTTACCCCTAATGTTGACCCAGCAGAAAAAAGAAAAAGACGTCCCATTAAGGGGGGTGGAAGCCCCTCCAAAAGTGGTCTGAATCCAACCACTAAAAGGGGACACCCCCCAATCAAAATCAGCCAGGGGTGATAATTAATCCGGGGTTAACATTGTCATTTACATGCTGTGAATCTTAATCGGGGACCCTTAAGGTGGACATCATTCTGGGAATTCATGCGCCGCTTTTGAGGGGGTTCCCTATGTATGGCCACGTGTTGCCTAAAGCATAGGCATGGCCTGGTTTTTTGTAGGCGACCCCACTTTGGGCACCAGATTGTGCATAACTTCTCATTACACACATATGTATATGCATGCATCAGGAAGCTGCTTGTTATCAACCGAATTATATGCCAAAATGGGCGGGGTCTCCTGCTGGTTTCCCTTTAAAGCCTACCAAACACGGGGTAACTTTGGTGCATTTTGCTTGGATGTTAGGACTTTAACTTTTTTTGCCAACGAATGGGTTTTCCATTAAACTTAAACTTTTAGCAGGGGAGCAGGTTTCGCAACCGAGGAATGTTCCCACTTTTCCCTGGGCAAAATGTGGGGGAACGTACTTTTGGAGGGGCCCCACCCCCACATTAATAAACAGGGGGTGATTAATCTGGGGTCAAGATGAGTTTCCCCACGTCCAACGATTCATTTCGGGCAAGGACCGGCTTTTAAAACCGACCAAACACGGGGGATGTTACCCTCAAAGAAGATACACCTCCGACTACCCTCCCTCTCGAGGAGCTGGTCCTGGAAGCTTGCGCCAAGCAGAAGCCGCTCCGCGAGTCCCTGACGCCAGGCGCGTCTTGGGACCCGGAGGCGTCTGGTTGGAGGAGTCACCTTGGCGTCCACTTGCTGAAATGAATATTTGTTGCTTTTCCTTGTTGGTTTTAAAAGTAATGTATCACTACTGGAAATACTATATATATTTTTTCCAGGGGTCTTAACCAAATGGAAGTTGGGGGGTTGGGGAAGAACCTGGTTGAATCCGTGGACTCCATGGAATCCATTTGTTCTTGTGCTCCCTTTTTTGGAGAGCCTCCTTTGGTTGGCCAAGCAACAGAAGGGGAAACCACAAGGAAACCCAAGCGGCTGGTTTCAGGTGACAAAAGGGTGGGGCGGGATGATGGATGATACTGCAAGATTTGCTGGGCACTATGTATCCTGTTTGGCTGCTCTGGCAAGCGTCGCAACGCCCCAAACTTGACTGTGTGGCTGCTTTCGCATCATTACGGCTATATTGTTTTTGTAGGCACCCTCAGAAGTAGCCGGAGGTTACACAACCGCAATTGTGACGACCACAGGCTCCCTTTTCGATTTCGAAATTAACCCCCCAATTGCCAGACTTAGCTTATCTGCTTAACCTTATGGCGACCATGAGGGCGTGGGAAGCAACTAGTTGCCTCGTTGCAGGGGGTCTAAGTCTGGTCAAGCATAATGGTAGCAACAAGGTATGCACAAAGGGAATTGAGCTGGGTACATAGGGGCTCATTCTAAAGAAACGTACGGAGAGCTCACATTCCGCAACTTGCCTCTCCTGCAACTCATCATGGACCCCAAAAGCGCCTTAGAGCCTTTGAAAAAGCTCCGTTTTTGGGAGGCTGTTTTGAGTTCCATGTTATTTGCTGCAGATCACCATGTTTTCCGAGAAAAACACAAACCATGGCCATCGATTTCTTCTAGCGGCATCTCCTCTTCTGGGAGACAACCAACCTTTTTTGGCTTCCTTCAAAGTTTTAGGGGGGCAATGTTAAGCTCATGTTAATCACCCCAGTTTATGAATAGGGGCGTGTCCCTGGGTTTAGTGGGCTTTTGGAGGGGCCGCCACCCCCCCCCATTAATAGACTGGGGTTGATTAATCTGGGGTCCACATGAATCCGCCGTCCCCTTGTCCACCCCCGGAACGCCCCGCTCGGCGACCCGACTCGAGTTTGCAGGGCCCGGCGCTTCCTCCCAGCTCCTGGAGCAAAGCAAGCAGCTGCGCCAGGCGGGGATTTTGGAGTTCTGAGATGTTCTGAGTGGGCGCACTGATTTTTGTCTTTCTGGTAGTGAAAAGGCAGGGGAAGAAAAGCGGAGTCAAAGTTTTCCTTGGTGGCTCCCAGCCATCCGGTTCCTTAGCTTGTTAGATTTTTTAGTTTCCAAAGTTGGGGATCAGTTTGGACAGCTCAGTTTTCGAGATTTCGGATCCGCACACCAAGCCTTGTTGATTTGTTGTAAGTCTTCCCCTTTTTTCAGCAGTGGAAAGGCTGGACCAAAAAGAGAACACGAACTCCGAGAGCCAGCCTTTTGCTATGTTGTATGAACTTCGGATTTCGAGGGCCATACTAAAGAGGAATCTTTGTATGAACGACCCCATAGGAACAGCTGCAGGTTTCTTTTCGAGTCCTGTTTTCGGCCTTTGGAACTTAAAAGTTGCTTTCGACGAATTCCAGATATCATCTCCTCTCGATGGCTTGGGTGACTCGCGTCGGGAGTCGCGCAGTCTCTTCACAACATGGCGGAGCGCTTGCTGCTGCCGGGCGCGCTGGAGGTTTGGCCCTCGCTGCCGGGGCCCTCACGGGGGACGTGGGGGGGGGGGGGGGCGGGAACACGGGGGGAAGTTGGGTAGTTGGTGGGGACTGGGGTTGGGCCAAGCTGCCAAGTACAAGGGGCAAGATAGCCACGAATGGTTTAACCGTGTTGATGAGTGACATATGAATCCTGACTGACTTATTTAGGCCCCTGGCTGCCCTGCACTAAATATGATTAACCTACTGCTTAAGCATCCTTGTTTTGGTGGCCAGGGTCTGGTTGTTTAAGCACGCTTTACCAACCCTGCACACCACGTCCGCCTTTGGGTTCCCCTTTTCAATCCACAAGGCACCAAGGGGAATCGCCTCAAAGACAAGGTCACCAGAGTCCCCAAGATAACGTAGCCACACAGGAATCCCACTTTGGTATCACAAGGATATGTTCCAAGTGCTTAGACCAATGGTTTGCAGAACCTTAGACCCGCACTTCTTAACGCTTGGACCAGGATTGGGCAAGCCTTGCTTAAAGAAATCCATGGTCCCTTGAGCATGTTGAAACCTACGCGGTTTTTCGGGGCCACGCCCTGAGACCACCCACGTCCAGGTCCAGGAAGGATCTACCTTCACGGAAGGCCCTGAAGCTGGAAATTCCCCGGTGCCTGAAACAATTCAAGACCCAGAATTCAATTCAAGACCGGTGAAGAATGATATGGTGCCAGAATTCAACTTGGGGACCCCTCCAGGTAGTTTTCTTGTGGTTTCCTTGTAGTTTCCTTTTTAATCCATCCAGGTGACGCCTATGACACACTCACCCAATGAATTTGTGTCTTTTGGTTCGAATAGGCAGGGAATTCAAAATGGAATGACCCCGACAAAAACCATCCATCCGATTTGGCTTCCTTTGAGGGGAGTCCCCTTTGGACCCTGGGTCCTTCCCTTCTGAGAACCAGCAAGTTTAGGCATCGCCAACTGAGAATGGGCCATTCCCTGAGTACCAGCAAGATGATGTGGGAAGGAAAGACCCCGGGCCACGGCATCGGGTTACGCCAACCCGGTTCAGCACTCCAGGCATGCTGCCAGAACCAGGCATGGGTTTTTGGGCGCTGAAATTGGTCCTTGGCACTCATAAACCTCAAGACCCTTAGAGGCTGGAACACCACTAAACCAACCTCAAACCAACCTCAAGCCAACCTTAAGCCAACCTCAAACCAACCTTAAGCCAAGCCCAAACCACCCCAAAGCCGCCCAAAGCCGCCCCAAGCCGCCCCAAGCCAAGCGGCCCTTTGGTTCACCGAGGCTGGACGCTTTGCTCACGGAGCACCGCGCGCCGCTGCCCTGGGACGCCTGGGCCCGGCGCCTCCTCGGCGCGCTGAAGCGGCCCTGGCGCCTCGGGACGTGGCGGGCGGAGGGTCGGGTGGCGTATGTGTCAACCCAAAACTTGGGTCTTCCATTTGGCGGTGGTCAAAACCGTTTTGGTATCACGTTTTGTGGAGGTCTTCCATTTTGGTTGAGGATATGGTTTATTTTCCCCTGTTGATTTTTTTAAAGGGAATCTATTGCTACTGGACATGTTTTTTTTTTCCATGGTGGAGGGGTTGGGGGAACCCAAACTTGGTTGAACAGACCAAGGTGAGGACTAAAAGAAGACCCTCACTTGTTGAGTTCATGGAATACTTTTCGGAAGACCATCGTTTTAGTTGGCATACAAGAAGTTTGAATTATTTGCGGGCCATCCACTCAGGGAGTGAGGGTTTGGTTTGGTTTCAGACCCTCCAAAATGGTTAGCTGCCGTTCGGTTTTCCCTTCTAACCAACCCCGGCTGAGTACCCTCAAGAAAAGACACACAGAAGGCTCTGCCTCCGGCCGCAAGCTCATGGACGAATTTGACACCACCTCAGAACCCAGAAGGTTGATCCTGCAAGTACCAAACCAGTGGCTTCTCATGCAACACCAAAGCGCACTTTTGTGGTCCATCCGCAGTGCGAGGCCCCTGGGCCTTGGCCGAGGGGTCGCCGCGACGCGATTCGCGAGCCGAGGCAGCGCGAGGCCTTGACTCTGCAGCTGAACCGCTGGGACCAGCGGGCCGCGGACCTCGCCGGCGAGGCGCTCGAACAAAATGCGAGTCAAGTCGCCCGTCTTTTTTTTTGGGCAATGTTCCCAGGGCAAAAGGACCGGCTGGGATAGGCTGGGAGAGTTGTTTGGCTCGTTTTTCCAGGCCTTTGAGCCAGAACCAATCCCCCAATTTCCCTAGGTTTGAGGTGAAAAGCACAAATTGCCTCTTGGAAGGGCCGAGCTCTGGGCTTTCGAACATTTCCATGCTGAGAGCCTCACAGAAAATCCTCAGCCAGGCTTCTAGCGGCTACAGTGAGGGCACTGCCACCATGATGGCAGGCAGGGGTATGCAAGAACCGCGGCCAACACTTCATGGAAGGTTCCAGTTTCTGTGAAGCTGGATGAGATGGCAACCCATTGCAGCATATTGCAACACATTGCAACCTTGCACAAATGTTCACAGGCTCACGTTAGGAGGATAACACGAGCAGTCTTACTTGGCGATTCCCTTATTTCCAGTGTGGACATATAGTTATTTTCCTGGATTACAATCCGCGCAACCTAGGGCAAGCTGTTTAAAGCAATGATTGGTTACCTCTTCAGATGGTTTTAGCCAATATTTGTCAATTGTCGCAAAAGGAAACCAACAGTGGAGGGTAATTTGCTGCTTTTTCCAGCGCCCCTATTAAACACCTAGTTGTACCATTTTGCAGGGCTTGCTGTGGGAATCGACCAACAGCGTGAGTTCGCGGACGTCGCGCTATGTCTCATATTGAAAGTGGCATCCCAGAAGAGCCCCCCCCCCCCCCCCAAGATGATATAGAGATAGATGGTGGTTCAAACGGAAGCTACCCCCCACAAGTAGTCATACTTGCTGATTCTCAGCAGGGAAGGGAACGACCCCGACAAACACCATCCCTCGTGGCTTCCTTGATTCGGGAATCCCCACAACGGTTTTCCAATACCCGGACTTGGTCATTCCCTATCTATCGCACCAGCGAGTCATAAGAACCCAGAGCCTTTGAAGCGTCAGCATAGCGTTCGCAGCCAGACCTAGTCTTGGCCATTGGAGCATGTTGGTTCGCTAACCCCACGTTCCCATGTCGGGTTTGTATGGTTTGCCCCTTGGCCGTTTCTAAAGATTATTTCAACACGCTTGACTTGACAATTGCTAAATCGTGTCGTCTGGTTTTCCCACCGGGACCCAATTCTAACTTGCCATCGTTGGAGCAGCCCTGTCTCGGGTGATACTGACGAGCACCTTTCGGAAGTCTTCGGGTTTCAAGCGAATGCGGTCAAAAGACAGCCGGTGCCGGTGATTCTTGGAATCGGTAAAGGCCAAGTGTGGGTTTTCGATGCTCTCTCTGCTTGCTGAATGCCCAGTCTGGGCTTTCAGGGCTTGGGTGATGCTTTCTTGGCTTGCTGGTGAAAGCCCAGGTTTGGGTTTTCCAATTTGACGTCTTGTATGTCGTGGTCTGAATTTGGTGTTGTCCGGCCCAAGCTCGCACAGGATGCAATGAAAAGCCCAGACACCCAACAATGCCCTTTTGCCGGTTTGTTTCGGGAGGGAGTTTCAAAAAGGACAACCATTTCCAGAAACCCCTCCCCTTTCCCACCAACAAGGGTGCTTCAACCCTCAAACTATCCTTAAAAAAACACTATCAACTCATTTTTGTGGCAATGCCCCCTTTTGCTACTGTGGATGGTCGCGAAATCCGGAAATCGCACCTTCTTGAAACCATGGTTGACCCCTCGCTTCTTGGAATTTACGCTTGGGGAATCGAATCAGACACCAGGTTGTGATCAGGCCCGATTCGCCAGGCGGCGCCACACTCTCCAAGCAGGGTATCCGCGCTGAGATGAGCCGGAGGCGCCGGCTTCGTCAGGTTCTGGCTTGGTGCTTTGGGGAGTTGAACCGGCTTTTGTAGAGGGAAAACGGGAAAATCCAAACCACCCATCAGAGGGAAGCTGACTTCGGGTGGTTTTAAGCATCACCTTTCTTGGGCCGATCTAAGGTAAGTTTCCTTGCCGAGGGTTTGCCAACAAACCATCGGCATTTTGTTGGTACCCCGATTAGAAGCGCGCCAGAACCTGCTGGCTTCGCCGTCTCGGCATGTAAGTGCCGTAAAGCTGCCCCCAGAAAGGGTGCTAGGAATTTACCCAAGAATGACCACCTTACTGGGAAATCCAGTGTCAATGTGGTCACCTGCCACTCTAATCAATTCCTCTTTCCATAAGCGCAGTGAAGTATACACCCGTCTCGCCGTTCAAGCAGACCCCAAAACACTCTATGGGAACCGGATAGAACGTGATCCGGATTCCCACCAAAAGCGGCCACCCCTATCATTCAACCCAAGGTTTGTTCATCCGGAGTTCCCATTACTTCCATTTGCCCAAGCATAAGTTGTATGCTGGTTTGGCTAAGGACATCGACCATCACCGCAAGCATGTTTTGCTCTTTTTTTCCACTGGACTTCATGTCCCTTGCACTTCAGCAAATGGAGGTCCCGCCAATTTTGTGTTTTTTCCATTGAACTTAACTAATTTTCCATTGGACTTCAAGTGGAGCTTCAGCTCCCCCCCTAGGTTTTCCTTTTGGCTTCCCACGTCCCCCTGCCCCCTCCCGTCGCCTCCCGTCGCCTCCCGTCGCCTCCCGTCGCCCTGACGACGTGGAGGCGGCTGCCGCAGCTGGGCGCGGAGGCGGCGCGGCGCCGCCTCCGCGCGGAGCTGCTGTGCGCGGCTCTGGAGGCGCTGAGGCCCCCGCGGCTCGAGCCGCGACGCCCGCGAGCCGCGAAAAAAGGAGGAGCTTCGTGGCCCAAACAACGGAGGGCTGAAGGTTTGCATCGGCTTGGCAGTTTTTGTTTACCTGCGAATCGTCCGGTTGGACTTGGGCTTTTGGTTGTCTTAGCCCGGTCTAGTAACGGATCTTTGCTTTCACTTTTTGCAAAGGGGTCAACAGCAAATGGGGAGAGAGTGGGCAGGCCCTGTAGGCGGGTTCTACTTTCTGTGTACCTGGGCCTAAGCAAGAACTACCCGTCAAAAATGGCGGTCAACGAACATTATTTTTTTGATATATAGTTGTAACGGATCGCTTGGGGTTCAAGATGATCTGCCGGCGCTGAGTCTCCTCTCGGCAAGCGCGGCTCGACCAAATGCGACCATTCCAAGTTTCCAAGTTCTAGGTTTCCTCCTCCCCCTTCTCCCCAGTGTTACCTTCGGGGGGGAACTCAAGCATGTGGTGGTGTTCACTGCTTCCCTTCAAGGGTGAAAGGGGCACCCTCCGACAAACAAAACAGACCCATCTAGATCATCTATGGTCATTCAATCATCAGGCGGTGGTCCTTGGGCGGTTGAAAACCCCGCGCAGGGCGGCGCAAGACCAGAACGGCGCCGGCTCCCAAGCCGCAGCCTCGGTTTGACAGCCAGAGGGACTCCCCTTGATTGTTGGAGAGCATGGGAGTATAGGCAACCCTTGGATCCATTCTCCTGGTCTTCTAAGGGTGGAGAACGCCTTGCTACTATTGGTTGGCAGTTCCAGGGGAATCACCCTTCCAGGGTTTCGTAGGTGATGGAGGCTTTCGTCCCGACACCCCAGTGGAGTGCCCGTGTTTTGTTGAGAGACCTTTCGGGGGTGGGGAGCCCCTTGTTCCATTCCCATGTTCCCATTTCTATCGCCCAGGCGGGTCGCTGTCACTGAGAGATGTCTCTGTTGGCTTTGCGTGGGGTGGTTCGTGGTTCCCTTGGTTGTCCTTCACTGTGCTTGGCAATTTTTTGTTGTTTTTTGGTTCTGTTAATTTTTAGTAGGGGGCTGCAAACAACAAAATGGTTTGCTACCATAGCAAGGGTTGTGGAGTGTCTACTGTAGAGGTAAATGGAACCACTGGGAAGGCAAAGCGAGAAATGGGGAAATGCCTAAGTTGGCGGGTCGCCCTTTTTTTGTTTCCCGTTGAAGCAAGTCCCCTCGAAACAGACACACTCAAATAGACATAAGCCTACTGCTCTTGGTAGGTTGTTTGGGTGGTTTCCTGTGCGGTTCTGGTTTTTTGGGGAGGGGCTGCAGAAACGCACATGTATGTTGCAAACATGCCCGGGATGGGAAGAGAACCTTAGACTGAAGAACACGAATCGAGCCAATGAGATTTGGATCAACCCTCAGCTTTTCTCAGCCTAAATCATCCGTACTGAGATGGGTGTTGATCTGCTTAAGCCTGCGGGTGAAGCCTCACAACTTCCAAACCCGATCTCGGTGAAAATATGGACATTTGTCCACGAGCACGTGGCGCAGGGGCAGCGAAGATGCACAGATAGACATATTAGTGGTAAACGATCAGGGCCTTCTCAACTGATTTCCTTTTCTGGAGCACCAGACATCAATTCAATCTTGCCTGAGATTCCTGAGATAGGGAATTTCTTCGGAGATAGGGATTGCCAGGAAGCACTGGGGCGTGTCTTTTCCCGGCACTCTTTTCCCAAATGTAACACACTCGTTTTCGGAGTCCGTCATTTCGATACATACCACCAGCGATGCATGGCATGTTGCTCACTGCACAACTACGCAAAAACGAGAAAGCGCCACTCAAAGAGCCAAGCACCGTAAACTGCCCAAATCCAACCCCTCCAGCAAGCAGGTTTCTCTTGAAGCTTCAACAGCCAATCGGCCGAATCTGACCTTTTGGTTTGCCAATGGTCCACAGCCAAGGTGCCAGGTCCTCCAAACGCACAGAATCGTTCCTTCCAATTTGGGGGTGGGGGGGGGTTGGCCTCAGTTTCACAGTGCTTGTCTTCAAAGCTAGAGGGTGCTTCTCACAATTTGGCCGCCCTTGCCCCGCAGACCATCCAAAAAGGGACCCCTGTGAGTGTCCAGATAGGGGAACCCCCCCTCCCCAAATTGTGTGTCCAAACAAGGATCTCCCTTGAAACAGTTTTGAACGCGTGCCAACCAAAATACAAAATCTCCATGAAGAGCAACCCCCCAAAACGCTGATTTTCCTTTGGTTTCCCTTAAAGCACCCCCAAAAAAGGGTCCCAAAACGCAACCCCAAAGCGCTGGTTTTCCTTTCTTTTCCCGTTACTTTTCCCTCTAAACCACCCCAACAAAGGGTCCTAACTCCAACAAGACCTACAGGTGGACGCAGTTGGCAACTTCGCACGACGGCGAAAACGGGTTCTGATTCCAAGGAGATCCAGCACCTCATCGCGGATGCGGGTCTTGCCATGGAGTCTCTGGACAGTGCCCTCGATCCGAATCCAATCGCAGTTGATCTCGGGGAACTCCACGTGGGTTGCTTCCTTCTTAAGCAAATGGAGGGGTTGCTTCGCTTTGTCTATCAACTCTGGACAGCTTGAAAGGTCTGGTGTTCTTATAGGTCGGTTTGTTTGGATCTAGATGGCATTGGTTTAAGTTTGGTTCTAAGCCAGTGCTATGTTAATACTCAAAACAATTTACTACTCAAAACAATACCTAGGTTTGGAGGTGTTTGCAAACTAGGATGATATTGGTTGTTCAAAGTACAAAATAAGTGAGTTGTGCCCACGGCTCCCAGTGGGACAACAGGGCTTGATTGACTTATGATCCATGGTTAATAGGATGAGAATGCACGAAGAGGTTGAGAAAGATTCAGGTGGGTGTGCTTCCAAATGAAAGAGCCAGGGTTATGCAGGTAGTCTTTGTTTCCATGTGCCAAGGTGGCAATTTGGGGAATCCATGTTTGGAGCTACCCCCAGACAATGATGCTGTGGATGGATGAAATTCATTGCGCACCACCTAAGAAACCCTGGTGTCTGATGATTGCCCCGTAAATACCAACAAACATTATGGTTGAAACCGTGGTGTCATTTCATGGTGCGATGTCTGGATCTCGCAACCATCCATAGTATGGTAAGGGTTTCCCTTTGGGAGTCGCGCCTTTCTCTTCATTCGTCTCTTGAAGTTCCTTGGGTTCAATCCCTTTTCTTCTGGGATTTTCTCGTCCCCTCCCAAAAACCCGGCCATCCGCTTCTCCGCTTCGCCTCTCCGCGCTCTTACCGCCGCCCGAGGCGGTCTGGACAGCAGCGCGGCGCACAGCGCCTCGCTGAGCTCCGCGCTGAGCGACTGCAGCGGGGAGCTGCAGCGGCAGATGGCCGCGGTGATGCTCACCCAGGCCTTCCTCAAATGAGCCACGTGCTCAAAACCGATTCGGGTAGATGAAGCTTAGTAAAGGACGATCCCAGCCATAAATAGAAGGCGGATGTCCGGCTTCTTAGTTCTTTACATGGTTCTGGGTCAACCATTTTTGTGCCGGGTTTTGATTGTGACTCAAATCGGCAATCGGGGAATCGAAGCCAAGCGAGTCCCGAGTAAACGACCCCGAAACGGCCGGGTGGTTGGGGGGATGGGGGGTGGTTGGGTGGGGTGGGTTGGGAATCACCGATCCCGGTGATTCCATTTCCCTGCATGGTAGAACCACCCATTGGAAATGAAAAGGAACATGGCGAAGGCTTACCTACTATGCTGGGATGGGATGGGACAGAAGCCAAGGCAGACCAGATTTTATAAGGTGTTTTATTAGTATGTGGTTGGAGGTGATCGTATCATTGGGCCAGTTGGGTTAGGTTGTTTTGGCTATTGTTGGGATGGTTTTAATACAAGTAATGTCTGTTTGTTTTTTTGAAGGGAAGCCAACGCAAGCCAGGCATGTTGTTTGTGATGTCTTCTTGTTTCAGGGGCCAGGGGTGTGCGTTGGCAGGGCTAAAGGTCGGATGAGCTGACACAATGTTCGGTAGTTGGTCTGTTGGTTGGGGGACGACACAAAAGTCAGGGGGACCCTTGTCCTCTTGAAGAACAAGTAATATTGTGCAGGGCTCCCGTGGGATATGGTTTCCAAGTTTGAAAAGACAGACCATCTCGGTTTTGGCTGATATTTTCGACCAGACCGTGGGCTAAAGGCTGTCAAAGGGTTTCCAGACTGAGCAGGGGCTTCTTCATATCTTTCTTCCTGACCCAGTTGAATCCCAGTACACAAAGGAAGGCCACCATACACATGCCCCTCTCCGCATTTTGACATACCCACCTTGTTAATCAGCAGGTCATCCACATAAATGAATGAATAACTATATATATATATGGATGAAGAACATATGTGTATGCGCGCAAATAGATAACTCAAAAAATGAAGCTAAGTGTGCGTTGCATATAGCAACACCCCCAGTCTACCAAAAAACCTACAGGGAAAAAAACACATGCATAGTGTATAGAGCTCTTGCCCATTTCCCTTGTGGTTTTTAAAGGATGTTTCCCTTCGGTATCTACGTGTATCTACAAAACCACGGAAATGTAACTGGGACACATGCAAGTTACCCTCCTTATCAGAGGGTCTCTTTAAGAGGACAGCAGTTTTACTGGACTTGTCAGTCAGGTTTCCACAACACCAATATATTGATATATATATATATATATATATGGGACCCCCCCCATGGAATATATGGTACCCCTCCCCATAGACCCTGGTTTGGTGCGTTTGACCTGTATTTCCGGTGTTTTATGCCTTTTTTGCTTCTTGGATGCTGTGTCAAAATTAGGGGGATGCCGTATATGTACATATATATATATATATATACATATACACACACGCAGACATGGGTTGGTAGCTGCAGGAAGCCTTCGTGGAGCGCCGAGGGCGTCTCCAAGACGAGCGCCGGCGCCTGCACATGCGCCTAGAGGCGAATTCGAATTTCGCGAAGGGAAGTGCAGCGGGTGGCCTGGGTCCCTTTGGGTTCGGCTTGGTTTGGGTTTGGGTTGTTTTGTTTTTGTTTTTGGTGTGCGTGTCTGCTTGGTTCTGTTGTTTTCTGCTTTTTGTGTTTTTTTGTTGGGGGGGACGGCGGGACACCCTTTCTTCGCTTGGTGTATTTGTGTTTGTTGACAGTAGGTGTTGTTTGCGCGCTTTCTTTTGGTTTTCTTTCTCTAGGGGAGAGTTTTACTATTTGTCCGTTTCAGCCAGCTGTTGACCCCTCCACACCACGACACCGAGCCGCCGGACTCCAGGAGTTGGACGCTGAAGTCACCCAGCTCGACACGGAGGCGATGGATGGAGTTACCCGGACCGTAGTCAGACGTTCCCCGTTTAGGAAATGATCTGTATTTCAGTGATCTACTGTATTTAAAGGTTCCTGACTAGGGGTCCTCCGGGTTAATCCGAAGCCAACGTTGACAGAGGCAGTCCATGGTTGTGGAAGTCTTTGTTTTTGGGGGAGGAACGCTAGCCTCGCCTCGCAAATGGTCCAGATAATGAGGAGGGCTGGTTGGGCATGGTTGTGGCAGTCTTGGTTTTAAGGCCACTTTCTGTGAGTAGCCACCCCTTTTAATGTGATAGAGTAGTTTTGGGGATTGGTATCACAGAATTTGGTTGTCAACCATGAACCAGTCAGTGAGGGTTGGAGACCCCAGTTAGGATTCATCCCTCAAGCGGGTATCTTGTAGGGTACACTTGTTGGGAAAATTAAGCCCAGTTGTTCAATGGAGCCCTCTAAATCCTTTCTGGTTTGGCGGGTTCCCCACCAAGCTTGGAATGAACGGCCAAACAAATCCTTTCCCTTACCAGGGTCGTTGGGTCAACAGGGTAGCTGTTCCCTTTTCAACACCCAAAGAGCTTGTTGTGTTCTATATAAATGCCTATGTGGTATGGTTTCCAAGTTTGAACCTCCAGTGTGGTGAATTTCCCGTTTGCTGCCCTTCACAATAGCCTCGAACAGAAGTTTTCCTTGAAGTCTCCTCCAAAAATCAAGCCACCCCTCATTGGTGGATTCGCTCTAAGCAACTGGAAGCTTTGGGGATGCTTGCAGAAATCATGCTGCCTTCATGACAATGGCGAACAACACCAACACCTGTTTCGCTCACTCCCGGAGTTCCTCCGCTTGAGTCACTTTCTGGGTTTGGACCATTCTGGTCGCAAACAAGCAGTGTGAACCTTTTTTTGGGCCGATCCACTCAGCAAGCGAGTTTGCAGTTTCTTCCTTACGATGCCACACCAATTGCCTGGCACTCTGGGGCCCTGACCCAAGCGTGCCAAGCTTTTCCCAGATGCTCAGCGGATTTCACCCTCATGTGTTAGGTTGCCCCCTAACACGGTCAGCCCCCCCTTGCCCCCCCGCCCAACCGGGATTGCATTTCACAGTACTTCAATTGAATTTCACAACAAATTATTGTATTTATTATTGCAATCTCGCAATAATTTGCTGTTCAAATTCAATCCATTATTTGCATTCAGTTCATTCACAGCAATTCACAGTTGGCCATGGGGTATAAACTATGGCTCCATTTTGGGGTGGAACATCCATTTGCCACCTTTGATATTCACCAGGGACACCATGGGTTTTGACCCACAGCCAGTTCATTAAACGCAAAACACGCACGAGAATCAAACAACTTATTTGGTTGGGGGCCCCAAGCTTTCGGACGCCGAAGCTTTCGGCCTCCTGCCTGTTAAAGTTTTGGCGCGTGTCCCACTCAAATGGCTCTGGCCGCAAAAAGGCCTCGCAGTTTCGGTTTCTACCACGACCAAAACCAAACAAACAACCGAATGAAGCGCGAAACCGACAACCACAACGGAATCTACTCCAAAAAGGGGTTGATTCCGTTGTTCCTCCGAATGGGGCCACTGGTTGAATCGAATCGGTTTGGTAGGCGCAGAGGTGCAACGAGCAAATCCAGCAGCTGCAAGCGCAGTTCAGCCAGAACACCAGGCGTCGGGAAAAGTTCAGGGGTCAACCTCTTGCTGGTGCTATAGGTAGGGAAGACCGAGTCCGGATGTTGGGAATGAACCGGAAGGGGATTCGTTTCAAGGAAACGAGAGGGGATGGTGTTTGTTGGGGTCATTCCATTTCTCATTCCCTGCTGAGAACCAGCAAGACCTTACACCTCCAACTGAAATGTGGCATACTCTGAAAAGTTTGCTGTGCAGTTTTGGGGTTGAGGTTTTCGAGTTCCGACTCAAACAAGGGTCCGGCGATGCATTATCGCGAAAAGTTGTCCTTTTGACACCCTAGATCCCCCAGTAGTGCCCTTGTACCAACTTTTTTGCGGGAGGGTTCCCCTACTGACTACAGAAAAAGGGGTACCCTTATTCGAACCTCTCTGCTGGAGGCCCTACCCGCCTCTAAGGCTCGGGGTGTAGAGAGCTCTCCGTGAAGCAGTGCAGAACCTTACCGGAACCCACTGGGGGTTTCTCAAAAATTCATGTCGGCCCCCCTTCTGGTTGGTATCTAAAGGGAAACCAAAAGGACGCCAACCACTTTAGGGGACTCTTTTTAATTGAACGAATATGTTGATATATTTATTTTAATAAACATTCAACTGGGGTCCATGATGTCTCATAGGCCGCACGTATCCGCCCGTCTACCATGGGGAAAGGGAACCCACCTGAAGGTTTCTCAAAATTTCTGTTTGGGGTGGGAAACCCATGTAAACCATCATCCAGAGAGTAATTTCGAGGATGTCTTACTAAATTGGACGCAGTCAAAAGTCTGGACTCTTGTTTGTGCAACATTTTGAGAGAGGAGTGTGCATGACGCATGCACCAGTCGACAGTTTGCCGGGCTGGTGTGCATTGAGTCATGCTCTGAAGAAGCCCTTATTGTATGTCTGATAAAAAGCAAACGGAGACCCAAGCTGTGCTTTTTGACTTGCAACTGGGTTTTGGTTTTTGGGGGCTGATTGTCCACTGGAGGCAGGGGGAACAAACTGTGCGAAATGGCTGGTGCGTCCCTCAAGTTGCGCCTGAAGCACCGGCAATGAACACCCCACTCTGCCAACTTTTGCGTGGGGTGGCCGTGAAGGAGCGACTAGCAGGGCGTGCTTATTTTGCCATAAGTCATCACACTTGCAAGCAAACAGGGGTTTTGCAAACATCAGCAAGATGTTCTAGGTGTACGTCCCAAATCAAAAGTGTGTGTGTGTGTGTGTTTTGTCTTCTAGAACCTATTGCTCAAAACTTTGGGAAATGAGACGTGGGGGGTTGTCAACAGTGAGTACCCTTTTTTTTTGGCTATGGATTGCAGCCCTCCTTTGCAAGGGGTCCATTGAAAGCGGTGCATTTAATTTTGACATACCAGGTTCTTTGAACGGGGTCCAAAAAGTATTTTTGACCACCCACCAGGGGGTGTCTCAAAAACGAACGGCACCCATGGCGTCCCTGTCGTTTCCCCCATGGTTTTTGACAGTCTCAACAGGACCGATGGATGTCGTTTCCCCCCATGTTCTTTTTGACATGTCCCCCAATGTTTTTTTGTCTTTCCTGCCGTTTCCCATGTTTTTTGACAGACCCAGCAGGGGGTTTCTCAAAAGAACGACAGCGACGGCGTCCTTTTCGCAGCCACTACGGCGGGCTGCTGGGCGGCAGCAGCTCGGCGCAGCAGCGGCTGAGCCACCGGAAGTCCAAGGAGAGCCGACGGGTTGCTTCACCACTCCAGGGACCCACGAGAAAAGTAAGCCATGAATGGCCGAAATCCACATCGCACCAGTTGGGATGGACGAAACATGGGAAACCCAACTGTAAATTGTGGGGTTTTTACATGGGTAAGCCACTTACTTTAAGTGGTGCGAAATGGATTTTGTCCATCCACAGTCCGTTTCATGTGTTTGTTTGAAGGGTGGTTGGTTTGCCAAGTTTGGAAGGGTCGTACTTAGTGCGCAGCTCCTGCATCTTTGAGCCTCATGTTGTGTATGTATTGTTGCAGTATTTTTCTGTTGGGAGTTCTCTCACAGCCTGCAACCTATTTTAGGAATATGGTTGATATTGGCTGGGGAGTATGTTGATAGGATTCGATTCTGGCGTTGGACATAACTTGGTAGGATCATTTGTTGGTAGGTCGCCGTTCACGGCCGTTTTGTTGTACTGTGTGTTGAGAATCTTTGATGGCCTCCTTTCGCATGAGAAGTCAGGTATTTCTGCTCCTCTTTCTTTTCAATACTGTGGATAGACAAAACCCTGCACCAGATGGGTGGTTTATCCCAATATTTATAGGGTTTCATCTATCCCACGTGGTGCAGGATGTTTGAAACTTTTTAGCTTTTTACTTTTTAGCGGTTTCCGAATCACTGACAGGTGTTTCTAGCTTTTGGGTGGTTGGTTGGCAATTGTCTGATCCGCTTAAAGTTTGGTTGCACCCACAAAAAGTGTTAGCGGATCAATATGTATCCTCTTGGTTCGGCCAGAACAAAATCGCAAAACATTTCTTGGTGGCTGCCAGCCATTCCCTTAGCTTTTTAGCCTCTTAATGTTTAGTGGTAGTTTCCATTTCACCCACCAAAAGTTAGTTTTTAGCTTTTCGCGGGGAATCGGAAAACGGGCAGCCCAGATTTGTCAGACTCCAGGATGTCCCAGCGCTGCAAAAAGATCGGAAAACGGCCCGCGGCCCCCAGGCGGGAGCCTTCCAGAGCTGCGCTCGCGCGGCCCTGGAGCTCGCGCGCGCGGAGGAGGCGCGAAAAAAAATTCCGAAGGCATGCCGCGCAAAAAGGCCATGGAGCCACTTGGAACTTTGCGTTTGGGAGCCTTTTTTGGGTTTTGTAGGAAGCATGCTGGAACCATTTTGGTTTTGAGGGAGCCATTTTGGGAATTGTGCGTGTGTTTGTGCTGTGTTTGTGATGATACTTGCTTTTGGAGGCAATCCTTGCAAAAGGTTCCTGGAAGATTAAAATCGGCAGGAGAAGCCATCGGTTGCATGAATTGAGGGAGCCTGTTTTTGAGGGGACTTTCCATGCTGGGGTCGGTTTAAATGGAAACCAACAAACAAAAACACACACAAAAAACACCCGTACCTCTATTTTGACAAATGCCCATGATGTTCTTTGTTGATGGACACATTTTTGCGAAACCAATGGAACAAACAATGAGGGAAGATGCTTTTGAGGGAACCCAGTGGGTTGACAGCCACATAAACATCACCTGCCGAAAGTCCGAAGAGCACCAACTCCACAAAGCAGGGGGGGCAAGGTCCCCCTACAGAAACCCAAAGGAGCTTGTTGAAACAACGACCGATGATCTTTGCATCCTGCAGGAGGGACAGGTTGCACGCCCCACTGAGACCAGCCAAGAGCTCTTGGTCTCCTCAGGAATCTCAAAAATGGCGGCTGTGGGCGAAATAGTAGGCGTTCTCACCTCAGGATGCACTCATGGGGCATGAACAAGCTACAGAGAAACAAAACATATTTCAATCCTTTTCACCTTTCTTTGCAGGGAAGTCACAACCTATTTTGACAAATACCCATAAGGCACAGGGGGGAGTATCAGAAGCAAAACTAGCCCAAGGAGGCTACATAACATACCATGTGATAGCAAATCGTTGAAGTCCCATGAAAAATGCATTTTGGAGAAACCATCCAACAAAAAGGTGCCCTTCCATCCAACATGGAACCCACCAAAGGGTTCATTTTAAGGCTGGTGAAACCAGGACCCTGAAACGCCAGGTTCCATGTCGGTGGACAGGAGGGTAGCTCAAAAAAAAACAGCAAACGGTTTGGATGCGTTTTTTGTGGATCCAATTCTGTAGGACATGAATTGAGTACTAAAATATTACTGAAAACCCGAACCCAGGGGGAAGAACTTTAGAGAAATCCGCAAGCACTTTAGGGTTTAGTTTCCCATTCTTTTCGACCATGGTTCTTTCGAACACCAGCTGTTTCCCTTGTTTTTGTTTCTTCGTTTCTTTTCTAGAAAGATCCGGATCCCTGGACAGAAATGGGAAGCTACCCTTAGAAGCACCTCTCTCCAAAACTTTCGAAGGCGCGCCGGGCGCCGGAGCTCTGCGCCCATCTCCGGCGCCGGCGGGCAGCTCTGGCGAAGCAGGCGGCCAGCTACCTGCGCCAGGCGCGGAGTCGGGCGCTCGGGAGGCGGGAGGCGGTGGGTGTTCCTTTGAGCCCCCGGTTCAGCAAAGCTGCAAAGGTTGGGTGGTTTGTATGGGTTTGAAACCCATCTCCTTTCAACAACTCTTTTTGGTAAAGGTGCAAAAGGGCGGTTTGTAGGTGGTCACGGTTTGTATTGGTTGCTTGTTTTCAATCGGTTTGATTTTTGGGTTTCCCTTGCCAAGAATTTGGGGGGTCCAAAGAGCCGACCCGGGGGGGGGGGTTGCTGTGGCTTGGCATGGCTCGTTTGTTTGAGACTACCCTTTTTGGGCTGGGCTTAAACGGAAACCAACAGGACCCCATCATTTTGGAGGTCCCTCCCAGTGCTTTCCATGTGGATGGGCCAGTTGTTAGGTGGTTTGTCCCAGTATTGATAGGCTTTCATCACATCCCTACTGATGCGAAGATAGTTTTGTCCATCCATAGCACTTCCTTCTGTTAATAGCAAGAATCATGAACATAGGTTTGTTATGTGTCGAATTCGGGGGGACGTTCAACATGTAAATCAATTCCCGGTGTTTTCCATGGGCCAAAATGGGGGACCCTCAACTCAACATGGTGACTTCCCTTTGACGACCAGATCGGCCAGGCAAATGTCGACAACGCGAGTCTTTGGTGCGACCACATCGGCCTGTTGGACCCACAAAAAGTGATCCAGCGTTTGCTCCTTCGGGGATCTTGGCGAAACCCACAGCTAAACTCGGCCCCTGATTCTGAGACATCCCCAGGTTACCTTCCAAAGAGACACCAAAAATAAAAGGCAATAAAGCTCGGGTCAAATTCAGGGTCCGTCTTGGGCTCGGGTTTCATTTCGGCTTCCACTTCAGGAGCGACTGCGCTTGGGCGCCATCGCCGATCTTGCCAGTGAGAAGTCGCCAGGCCGTCGGAACTGCGCTCTCTGACGTAAATGGCACATTTCACCCACCTGGTGCCTGAAAAAGCTGCCTCTCTGTTTGGTTGTGTCAAACAAACTTTCCGGGGTCGCTTCCCCACCAAGGCGTTTCACAAAGCTTTGTGGGAAAGGCGCTTGGCTTTTGGAATAGGTTTGCTTCTCCTCGCGGTTTCCCGCCGAGTAGTTCACAGGTCACCGCCGGTTTGCGTCAAAGACCAAAAGATCTCATCGCAGGCGCAGAGCCCGAGGTGGAGCTGGCAGCGCAAGCGCAGGAGGCGGGGCTGTCGCTGACTTGGTGCGAGAGATTCACGTGGCTCGAAACCAAAATGAGCCAAAATCAAAATCCGGGTAGATGAAGGTTAGTAAGGGACAATCCCAACCATAAATAGCTGCGGCCGCCTTCTTAATTCTTCACATGGTTCTGGGTCGACCATTTGAGTACCGGGTTTAGATTATGACTCAAATTGCCGGTTTCCCCGTTTTTCCCCACTCACGAAGTGAGGAACCAGGTTGCTATGCACGATGGCACACAATTGGGTCATGTACCCAAAGTTAAGGGCTGATTGGGCTGTCTAAAAAGTATGGCTGGTTCCAACCTTGCTGGTGCGAGAGATGCAGGGAATAAGACATGGAGTCTGACCCAAGGAAATTCACCATCTCCCCGATTTGATTTGCTTTATTCGGGAATTTTCGGGTTCATTCCCGCATTTCCTACTGAGCACCAACAAGCAACCCCAGTGTCTCCCAAGAAGGCCCATTGTGACAACCTTCGGGTACAGTGGTGATTTGTGGAAGATCATTTTCCTGAGACCTGGTGGGCTCCGTTTGCAACACAAACCCCCTTGAGAAAGAAAGTTCCTGGCAAGCGCAGAGCCAAAAGGCGGTTTTTACTTCACCGCTGCTTTGCCGTCCGCCTTCCGGGCCGGTAATTCGGCTTTCCTTTGGTGATGTTCGTAGCCTGTTTCAGCCAACTTGTCTCATCCAGGAATACCAGCTTCTTCACCGCTCGCCTTGGTACGACGCATTGTGGCAAGCTCGCAGAGGGCCAACCCTTTTGGTTTCTCACTTGCCGGAACATCTGGGTTAGACTTTGGACACATTACATGTTACCAGTGACTCAAAGGGAAGCAAATAATATAATATACATTCTATAACTGGGCCTCAATCCTGACATGATGTTTGTTCCTGCGGGTTGGTGATTCATGTGCATTTGCCCGGACCCTTTGGGCTGCGTTTTCCCCTTTTTTGGAAGAGCCTGTCTCAAATCAGGAGACAAGTGTGGTGTTGATCGGTCCCTGATATGTTCCCCGTTCGTGTGCTGTCAACATCGCTTGTCGCTGGGTTGACATTTCGACATGAATCTCCTTTTAGAAAGGACATTTGGGGCATGTAAGGACATACATAGGACACCCCTGATTGATTCATAGGGGGTTTTAGAGGGTACCTTTCAGGAGTTTCACCCCCAATCCCCAAAGTGCATTTCCCGTCGACAAACATGAGGATACCATTTAAGTGCAATTGGAGGACAGAATCAGGATCACCCCGCTTTGGACGACCAGCCCACTTGACAAGTGGCTAAATACATTTCGAGTTCCCCCAGTAGGAGAACCCAAGAGACTTGCTAAGTGAGCTTACTAACCACCTGGAGTCTCCGCGAGCCACTAGGTTGCTAGCCACGTGGAGCATGCCCTTCACACGTTGAACCTCCTATATGATTCGACTATTTGGAGGTTAGACACACACAAGCAATTCGAATTGGTTGGTGGGGTATCATGAAACCAAATAAAGTCATGAGCACAGGGTGAACACGTTGGTAATCGTTCAGCCCTTATGCTGGCACCCCATTGAGTGAGTGGTTTGTTTTTGACTGGAAACGCACAGGGCACCCTTTTTTTAGGGGACCGATTCCTGAGAAACACCCAGCTGGTTAGCTAGTCCCATGCAACATGAGTGGATCACCCGCTTGCCCTGATTTTTTTGGGTACATGACCCAATTTGGCTCAACGAGTCATCTTTCACGAGATTCATCCTCCCCAACGGGAGCGGCTGCAACGGCATTGCTTGGTGCTGCTTTCAGCGCAGAAGTCCAGACGGCTATGCGCCACGTCTTCCAGTACGCCACGGGGGCCTGACGCTCACTTGACGTGTCTTACGATGATTTCCCCTTGAGCTTCCCTTTCAGACCCCCATAAAGCCTATTTCATAGTGAGCTCACATGGAGGTATACCGAGCTCACCACGATAAAGGCTTTTTGCTTGAAGATCCCTTTACCCCAGTTGTTGGAGTCATATTGAAATTTGCGGATCCCTGAATTCAAGTGTGGGGAATTATGGTTAAAACAAACATGCAGCAACAAAGCTGCCCGCCGCAAAAAATGCCGCGCCACCCCACAGAAAGCAACGCCTTCCCCGACCCCACGTGCCTTTGAGAGGCCTGGCGCAGCGCGCAGGCGCTGCTGCAGCGTGCGCAACATCTGCTGGAGGCGCAGTCCTCGTCCTCGTCCTCGTCTCGATGGATTTGGTGTGAACATCGGGTGACCCCAACATGGGGGTCGTTGTGTTGTGTCCCTTTTGCTTTCAAATCCCCAACTTGGTTTCCAACCTTGAGTTGTTTCCTCAAAGGAAGATGAGTCACCCATATGTGTGCAACCCATACTTGGGGTAACATGGATCCCAAAAGCACAAATTTGCACAGAGGTATGTCCCTTTTGCAGGTGCCCAAGGGGCTCAATTTTGTGAATTGTTCCTTGGATTGGTGGTTTGGTGAGTTGAAGCCCCGGCTCTTGCAGATGGAAAATCACCCCCAAACCTCCGAGCGGATGCAGACAAAACACATGCTGACCCTTCGTCATTTTCCTTGTTCTTGTTAAAGGGTGGTTCCCTTGGTTGGAAAAGGAAGGTGCGAGAGAAGCCGCCCAGGCGTAGGACCTGCGGGCCAACGGGTGGGCCCCGAACCTTTTGCGAATCAAGGACATTTGTCTAGATCTACGAGCGCAAAAACAAACAACTCCCACGTTCTTTGAGGCAGCATGTGGACCGTTTGGACCCGGTTCTCCCAAAATTGGTCCGTTGTGGTCATGGCTCAGAATGTGAAGCTGCTTTTCCGAAGCTACTTCTACACTTTGCTAAGGAGCCTGGCTCGCCATTTGTCCGGAGGTGTGGGTAAGCTTCGTTCTAAGAAGCTAGGTCATAGGTGTTCTTTGTGGTTGTTTTGGTAGAAAAATAGATGGCAATTCCTGGTTTACCTGGTGGTTTCATCATCTACCACGGAAACCCATCTATTTGCCCTAAAAGGATATCTATGAGCTAGGTTTTATTTATTTTTATTTTCTGGTTGCTGGTTTCTCAGATTCGACACCGGGGGCTTTTTCCACTCACTGTTGGCCCGGAGCTTTTGGAGGCTGAGGAGGAGGAGACAGAGGAGCCAGAGGCGCGCACATCGAACTCGATGGCGACGCAAATGACCGGACATACCGTCAACATCCCTCGTATCGGATGCAACATGTTGATTCGTGTTACCCGGAAACCGGCATGCCAAGAAAAGCAGTGGTCGACGTCATGGGTGAGGGCATCCTGTTTTTTTGACACCCAGCTCAATAAAGCAAGCAATGAAAGGTGTTATTTGTTCAGATCGGAACCGGGGGGGGTCGGGAGAGTTTGTGGGAAAGACTGGATGGAATGGAGACCCTGAGCCTCCTCCCGGGTCGGGGATTCATAGACGAGGCACCATGTGGACTGCGCCGAAATCTGCTTGCGGGTCCGCAGGTCCGCAGGTCCGGTCAGGGTCACTTCAAAGAGAGTTGGGATTTGGGTTGTCCCTTGCACTCGACTGTAGAGAGCTTTGCAGTGCAAACTTCAATGTCGAGCGAGTTCTTAATCGTGACTCTGAAATGAGGGACTTTGCTCGTTCGTTTCAGGGGCTTGAGAGAGGCTTGCTCCCATATCAACTATGAGCATTGCTTTAACGTTGGTTTCAAGGATATGTGTTGGTGATTCAGGACAAGAAACCAATAAGGGTACCACTTCCTCGGAATCAGCCCAACAGAGGGTCCAATCCAAAAAGAACAAACACAAAAGGACAACCAACAGGGGCCACCCCCACAACAAGTGACCAAGAAGAAGCCAGGTTTTGGTTCGACCCCTCGTGCCTCCCAGCTTACCCCCCTTCGTCAGGACGCGCCAGGCGAGGAGGTGCCGGAGGCGGAGGCGCTGGCGTTCTTCAGCCGCGTGCCGGAGGATCGATCTGTCTGTTCGATCCGTCCGAATCTCCGGAGGGTACCCTGCTCAGCGTGAGGAGTCCTTGGACGACTTTCCTTTAAAAGGGTCTAGGGTTTAGGGTTCCATGTTGGTGGACAGGTTGGTATCGCACAAATGGCAGAAGTGTTCCTATTGGATGAAAAGCACACATTTTGGCAAAGGTATATATCCTCGAAAAGCACTTGTTCTGGTTGGGGGGGGGCGGGGGGGAACTGTTTTTTCCCTTGGCTGGTTGGTTGGCTGGCCGCATGCCTGGCATCAGCCTGACTTGGACCAGGCGTTGCTATTGGCTCTGATTGGGAGGCAGTTGGGAGTTGCGGGCTGGTTGAAGTTCGGAGGGTTTAGGCTGGCTTAGACCTTCATGGCGGGTCTTGTGGATTTGGGGTTGGCTTGGAGCGGATTTGTGTTGGGGGTGCCGCTGGCTAAGCGGTGCCTTTGGGGTTGCTTTAGGGATGTGGTTACGTGAGTTTTGGTCTCGTTTAGGATTGGTTTCTGGAGCGTTGCCCGAAACCACCAAAACTAGAACACTCAAGACCGGTTCCTTCCAACACCCTCATGTCCGCTCCCATGTTTTGAGCTTCACAACTCAGCCATTTCAAATGAGTGAAGGCTCCCTTAAAAAAGGCTGATCCCCACTCCCCCCGTGTTTAGTCGTTCTCCGACAGGAGGACAAGATCTGCGCTGACTGCCTGAGTTCGGCGGAGTGGGCGTCAGTGACCTACGGCATCTACCTGTGCAGCTCTGATTGAAGAACATGGCACAGATCCCTTCGTATCCCCAGGTAAAGACTACGACTGAACCAAGATGGGGAACACTGCATCTACTCGTTGACAGATTAACACGGAACCCGGTTCAACCGCAATTTGTAGAGGAAACGTCCAACTGCAGGCCATCGGATTTTTGGAGCCAGCCAGCTGTGCTTGGCATGCTCAAAGGTTGTCTTCAGCGGTTCGGGCTCCGCAAAATTCCTTTGGTGGCGGCTCAACCATGTTGGCCCCTGCATATCCCCGTTTTGTTGCGTGGGTTCCGAACCCCCAAGTCCAGGACTAAGCAGAACCCCCTGGTTAACGTTCACGCGTTGGTTTCAATCATCGCCTTATATGTTCGACTCTTTTGCTCATTTATGTCCTTGGGGAGGCTTGTTTGTATTCAGCGGACACCAAAGGGAAGCCTAAAGCCAGTTTTGGGCTCAGGTGAAAGACGCAGCTCGCTTTGAAACTTCCCTTTACAGACGGCCGCTTTGACGAAGTGACCTTTGGGCGGGGGGTGATCTAGGGGGAATCTGGGATCAAGACATCCCCAAAGATCCAGACAAACAAGGGAACCTGGGTGTAAGGTGTACCCTTTGGCGGTCCCCCTTTTTCCCTGGGCCGGTTCTCAACTAGGCGACGATCTCCAAATCAACAGCAGCCATCCCAAAACCCGGCGATTTGAGCCGCGTGACTCGTCACCCATGGCCCCGCCTTCGGCCTTCTGCCTTGGCCCGCCCTCACCTTTCTTTTCCTTCTCGGTCGCTGCAGCTTCGCCAGACTCCTTTCAGCTCTAAACGCATGTGTAACGCTTACTCTATTTCTGCGTTGTGTGGCCAAGAGAAGCGGAGTTCTTCCCCACACTCTTCCGCCTCCCCCGCGCCCATCTCGATGCGATTTCCGAGGCGTGGACTGCGCGGGGCGGCACCGGGGCCTCGGGGTGCACCTCAGCTTCGTGCGGAGTTTGGGCATGGACCGCTGGACCGCCCCGCAGCTGAGGCGCATGGCCCGGGCCCCAAGTGGGATGCGCCGGGCGGGCCCCAAATGGGATGCCGCAAGAAGCGATGGATCGGACAGTCGGAAGCTGTTGGTGAGGGTGGAAAGTAGCAAATGGCCCGGTAGTATGCTGTGTTTGTGCGACGCACATGCACATTTTAGTGTATGATGGCTCAGTTCGAAGTTTGTAAAGGTACACAAGCCCCCATGTTTATGAGTTGGGCGCTTTTTTGGTACAGACTATCCGATTTGTCGATGGCATGGTGTCAACCTCTGAACAAAAGGAGGTATTTGCCATGGCAAACAAGTGGACTTCAACATACACTGGAAAAAGCGGTATCTTGAGTCGGGGGTGGATGTTTCTTAAAAAGGACCCCGCAAGAATGGTTGGTTTCCTTTTCGTTTTCTTAGCAAGCCACCCTTTTGAAGAACAACAAAAGGTGCAATCCAACATTTCACGTCTTCTGTTGGGGTTCAAAGGGGACATCAAGCTTTTTGTAGGTTCCGCCATTGGAGACACAAACACATGTGGCAGGCTTTGGCAGTGGAGCCGTTTTATTTCACCTGCCAACTGCTTGAGGAGTAGTACTGCCAGCAAGCAACAGAGTCGCGCCAAAATGTCGATCACATCAGCACGTTGAGATTGTTTAGATTTCAATTGTGTTCGGTCATGAATCTTTGTGTTGACGTCTATTTCTTCGTGAAGCCAAATGGAAAACCGAAAGCCCATTTTGAAGGTGGAAGACCAGGAGTCAACATGGAGACTCAATAGCTGCTTAGTGGAGTTCATAGGCCATGTTGAGGTCCTTAGAAGCTCAGTGGTCCAAACAAGCCTTTCAACCTTCCGGTTTTCCAACTGTTTGGTGCAAAAAGGTGATCACCTTTGAGTTTTGGGTTTTCTGAGGCCTTTTGGTTTTCCCTTTCTTGCCACCTTTTTTTTGTTTTTCATGGCCCAGGTGATCGGTTAAAACCCGCTGGGCGCTTTGGGCGACTCAGGAGCTGGGCGGGTCCCAGCGCTTCCGGGACTTCATGGCGGCCTACCCGGCGCTGGACTCGGAGCTGGGCGCCCGCGGCTCGGCTCGGATCCGATTCGTTTTCCTCGGAGCTTGGGGGTGAAGCGAGGGAACGCCCTGCAGGGCCAGCTTTTTTTGGGGACACCATGGTTTTTTTTCTTTTCCCCCCCCCCCCCCGATTTTTATGGAGATCTCCTTGTGGCTTCCTTTTGAAACCAACCAAAAGCTTGGTGACAAGCCCAGCTATGATTCCTGAGAGGTTTTTAGATATGTTGAGTTGGTTCAGTGGTCGGGTTTCCGAATTTAACCCACTAAAAGTTATTCACTTTTTGCCGGGGATCAGTTTGGACAGCGCAGCTATATTTCAGGTTTCGGAATGGACAAATTAGGTCTTGCGGTTCTCGCCAGAAGCCGGGAGACACACACGATCTTGTGTGTCCTTTGTCGCAGCCGGCGTTGTATAGCTGACCGATGTTTTCAAGACAGAACCCTTTGCGGATGTTCTGGGTTTCGAATTCTTAAGTTCGATGCTTCAGGTTCCGGGGGGGGTTCCTTGGAAATAGACCTGGCTGCAAAGAGATTCCCCTCCAACAGGGCGACTCCTTTTTTCTGATTTTTGGTTGAGGCCCTCTCGGGAACATAAAGAACCTGCAAAGCACAGGATGGAACTCTCCCAACTGGCGAATCCCTTCCCAGCAATTGACATGGAACCTGGCGTTCGGGGGGGTTGGGAAGACCATTTGCCTTTTCAAGAAAACCCCCGAACTGTGAGTGCTTTCCATGTTACTGGGGAGGAGGGTACCTCCAATGTTGCTTGTCATGCTAGCGATTTCCCCAACATCTTCTAGGTCTCCCAGTAATGCCCTTTTACCCTTCTTGGGGGGAGGGTTCCCCTACTAAAATAGACTAGAGCAAATCGGGTACCCTCATTCTAACCTCTCAAATCTGGAGGGCCTAGTCTTTGTTGGCTTTACAGGCTCCACGTTTTTTCTTGGCCAGGCTACGGCTCCCGCGCCGCCCGCTTCTACCGCCGGGCGCTCACCGCGCGGCTTTCCAACCCCGCGGGCGCCGCGGGCGGCGAGGGCTTGCCGGCGGCGCCGGCGGCGGAGGAAGGCCAGCGGCCGGCGGAGACGGCGGAGGTGGCGGCGGAGTCGGAGGAAGGCGAGGCGAACGCGTCGCCTGTGCGACAACCCAAGGGGTCATTCCCTTTTAATAGAGAGAACCCCCCCCTCCACCAAAAAACAAGAACAACATGTTTTCCTGGCGGTTTCCGTTCAAACCTGTGCGAAAAGGACGCTTCTCTGGAGGGGAACGGCATGGGTCCTCAGATGTCATATTCCCCACTTGCGGTCAACACACCACGATCTAAAGTCAAAAGTGAGGTTTTGTTTTGGCGTGGTGATGCTTAAATTAAGAACGAAAGGGGACACACCATTTTACATTGAACTCTGAACGCGGGCGTGAACTGTATTTCCACGCTGTTTTCTTTGAAAGGTGGTTTTGATCTAAATCAATACATAGCAAAAGGGGCCAAAAGCAATCCCATAGCGCCCAAGACCTCTAAAAGCGCAATTTTAGATGGTGGTTCTGCTGGTTCAATTAGGGTTTAGGCGAAACCTACATACGCCTTTAACTACATGTTAGTGGACCAACAGTCAGCTTGGGTTTTTGGCACTGGCTCTTTGACCGGATTGATCCGTTCGGTCGAATGGAAGCCACAGGTTGTTGAAGCAGTTTGGTGGTAAGGTTAAAGAGGACTCTGTTGTCCATATTGTGGCTTAAGCAGGACTCAGGTAAGCCTCAACTGGTGGTTTGGGGACGGGTAAATGGGAAACCGGTTATGATTCTTGCCTTTCTTCTTTCTCTCTCTCTCTCTCTCTTTTTTGCTCTCTCTCTCCCTCTTCTCCCTCTCTCTCTCCCTCTCTCTGACTCTCTCTCTTTCTCTCTCTCTCTCTCATCGTCGCTTGTTGCGATCAAGCAAATCTGCAAACGCCTTGGAGAGGGCGCAGGCCTGTTGGACCAGGTCCTGAAGAAAGCGATCAATTGCTGAGATTGTGCTTTCAAGCTCCGCTCGCTCGGCATGATCGGGGACCTCATCAAGCAATTGACAGCCTCGATGAAGTTGCAAAGCGCAGCCGAACAAGCCAACGCGCAGAAGAATAAAACGGCACGGTGGCTACCCGGAAAAGTGGTAAAGCACGTGGATGGTATTTTTCAAGTGTCAAAGGAGCGGATTGAGCTCGCTACGGCTCTGAGGGCATCGGAGAAGTCCGGGTCAGGGCGGGCCCCAAAAGGCTGCGGGGAAGGAAACGCCAACGGCAGCCACAGCCGCTGCTTCGTGAGTTGCAGCCCATGTTTTGGGAGAAACACGCATCACGAGGTTTGCAAGAGCTATGCCGCAGTTTTCCGAACCACACCGGGCTCCAAACCACCGACTCGTGGGAAGCTGAATAAACCTGTACTAGGTCCCCCCAGTAGTGCCCCCTACTAAAATAGACTACGGGAAAAAAAACACGGGTACCAACTTCTTCTAACCTTTCAAATCTGGAGGACTTGGTTTATGTGGCCGGGCCGGCCGAGCGAGCCCAACTTCGCGCGTGTCGCCGCTCGAACTCCAGGCCCTTCGCTGGCCTCCGAGCAGCAGCTGCTGGAGGCCGATACGCCGATCGCCCCCACGGGAGCTCAGCAAATGGCTGTGCACGTCTAGGTCCCCCAGCAATTGGTGCCCTTTCTCACCCCTTTTTTGGTTGGGAGGGTTCCCCTACCAAAATAGACTACATCAAAAAGGGCACCCTTATTCTAACCTCTCCACTGGTGGACCTAGACGTGGGTCAACACCGTTTTGGGATCCCATTTTGGTTGGTAGGTGAAGTCACCACCCCTTTTAGAACCTATTTAGTCGGCATTGGGATCTTCACTGCAATCTCGGGATTTTTGACCCATGGCCACATGTGTTATGATCCCCTACTTTATAAGGAATCTATCACTGCTGTTTGTTTTTTTTTTGGGGGGGGGTGAGCAAGCGGAGGTCATACACCCCCAAAGCGAATAGCCTTTTCCGGACCATTTGACACCCGGTCCATACAAGGAACGTCGCAAGGCCGGAGGGGTTGTTTCAATCCGTTCCAAAAGCAAACGTGGGACCTGAAAGGGAATCTGACTACCTTGGTCCTTGTTAATTTGCAGGGGAGTGAAACGTCACTTTGTTTGGGGAACCGCTCTCGAGTTTCAGCCCTGTGTTTGGGAAACTTACTGTTTTTGGGAAAGCCTCGCCCATGTTTGGAACTACACAGTTTTCGGAACGTACACCCCATGTTTGAGACAGGTTTTACATTTTCCCTTTTTGTCCACACCTTCAGTTTGGAAACGCGCACGCACACACAAACACATCGGTGTTTAAGGACAACTCTCAGCGCTTGTTTGTTTGGAGGACCACTGCCTAATCCCATTTGGTTGTGAGGGAAACATTGTTTGAGGGAACCAGCCGGCCTTTGTTTCAAACTAAACGCAGACACGGCAGGGACTGGTGGTTTAATGTTGGCCCCGGATTAATCGACCGAGGGGGGTTTCCCCCAAAAGTCAAGGAGGCCCTCTACGATAAGTCCCTCCAAACTTTTTGCCAGGGAATTATTCATCAACTGGGCTCCCATCAGCGGCTAGCAATCATCGCTTAACCAACAGGCCAACTCCCCGGGATCCCACACACACACACACGTACATACACAATTATTAATAAATAAACAAACACATAAATACATACATTTATAGATAAATACATGGGTAAACATATATATATGTATATATACATATATGCGTGTGTTCCTTTGTTGCCATTGTGGAGGCTCTCCTTTTCAACTCAGCAACATTTAAGAGCAACCATTGTTTTTGTGATTTTTGTGGAGAGCCTTTCACCACGTGGCAATGTTCTTTCAATTCAACCGACGCCCTGATGAGACCACCTTCCTGGAGCTGCAGGGCAAGCTGGCCGCGCTGGCCTGACAGGCGAGAGGCGAGGCGTTTTTTGTTTTTTGTTTTGTTTTCGAGAGATCGGGGGTGGGGGGAGGGGGGTGCAAAAAGGGGGTGAAAGGGTCGATTTTGCGCCACCTTTTGGTTTGGGCTTGGGGGGTCACTTGGCTGAAAGATTCAAGCCCTTTGCCTCAGGGAAACTGGTGTGAAAAGGGTTGGCGGAAGCCTCGCTTGTGGGAAAGGTGGAGGGGAGTGCAACTTAAATATGGGATCTCTCTTTTGAAGTGATTTTGCGTTTCAACTTTCTCTAACTATGCTCCACAATCAAACACATGCATAACGCTCTGTGGGTTAGAGCGATTTTTCATGAGTTTGGCTCCCAATGAGGACAAAACAGTGGCGGTCAACTTGAATGGGGGGGAATTGGTCCAACCCAGTTCTGCGATCTCTCATAACGACTTTACATTTGATGCGGGCCCGGGTGTGTCTTTTTGAAGGTTGGATCCCCAACATGGTCGGTGGTCCGTTTGGTTTCCCGTTAAAGCCACCATAAACGGGGTTTAGAGGGTACTCCTTTTGAGGTTTGCTTGAAGCCCCCATGTGGAGCCCGCAGAGGCTGGGCAAGCGAATGAGCCAGCTTGTTTAAGATTGCAGTGACAGAGGCGCAGGCAAAACAGGTTTAAGAGGTGTCGATTTGAGGGTCCAATCATGGACGTTCCTTATTTCTTTCAGGGACCCTTCCTTTCAGAACGTGAGATCTTGGTGGGTTGCTTCAAACAAGCGGCGGTAACAGGAGTGGAAGGTCAGCCCCTGAGGCTCGCGTGCCCGACGCATCGGTGAGCCGAGCGTGAGCGGGGGCGCCGACATGGGGAATGTATGCTGAAGAGAGAGAAAAGAAAGAGAAAGTCTTGGCTATATAGGTCCCCCAACAATTGGTGCCCTTTCTCACCTACTTTTTTGGTTGGGAGGGTTCCCCTACTAAAATAGACTACGGGAGAAAAAAAGGGTGCCCTTATTCGAACCTCTCTGCTGAAGGACCTAGTTAGGGACGGATGAGGAATCTGACTTTAGGTCATTGAGGCACTCGAGACCGCCGAGCGTGCCGGCCTTGTCCAGTGGCTTAAGGAAGCTCTGATCAAAGATCTCCCGTTTGCTTTGCTTAAGCATACTTGTTTCCCCTAGTGGATGATTAGTAAAACAAATCTATCACTACTGGAACTCCCCTTTTGATAATTATAGGGAGTCTATCACTACTGGAACTATGTCTTATGTGTGTGTGTTTTTCCAAGGGTAACTTAAGCGAATGGAGTCTCTGGGCCTGGTGTACAGCAAGACAGGACATGTACATAGATGCGCCGTCCGAGTCACACGGACACCGCAGGCCGCAAGCTGCTGTTGGATCGCCACCCAGTTTAGTGCAGTGGATTCCACCTGTTCCATTGGAGTTGGTTCGGGACCGCACCCGGGAATCGGCCAACCAAAAAAGCGCTCCAACTCATTTTCTGCCGCCCACGTCACTGGTTGTAGCATTTTGCACTGGCTAGAAGTTGTTTTTCTTTGGGGGAAGGAAGGCACTTTCTGCTCTCCTTGGCAAAAGCAGTTCAAGGATGATGGGTGTGTTTTTGGAGAGTATCCTTTTCAGGTCGGTTTGCAGGGAAGCCACGAGGAAACCACCCATTTTCATGCCCCCTTTCACATATACCCATGTTGGCGCCAAAAGCAGCAGGCTCTTGACTCCAAATGTGCCGGTCGAATGCAGGCGGCCAGCGGAAAAGAGGCTTCGAGCCTTTGAAACTGGAACCCACAGTCTTTGGAGCTTGCCCCTGGTAGAGGCATATGAATGCACCGTTTGGGCGGGCCCTCTAGTTTGACCATACCCAAGTGGGGTGGCAACAGTTGAGACCCTTTGAGGGATGCGGATGAAATCAACAGAGGGTCAACCTTTTCGAGAGGGCAATAACCAGCTCGAATTAACATGTTTTCCAATGGGTATCCCGTTTTAGGCCGAACAGGAAACCACACCGAAGCAAAGAGTCTGCAAAAAAACAACTCCAACCCTAACAGGTTATCCGTGAAGGTATCCCTGGAACCCATCATTCTATTCTGCAGGGACAACCGTGATTTTGCGTTTCGTTCATCCTCTCCAAAAGTGTTGTATTTGGGCCAAGTATCCCCCACCTTGTCGAGGGTAGATGAAAAACCGCCCCTGAACCACCCCTTCACTGGGCTCCAAACCGCCAATCAGGGGGATACCTGCTATGGCTGTGGCTCAAAAGTAAACGGCTGGGCTTGCGCAGGTAGTCCTTGGCTCCATTTGCCTTTTGCTGCCATTGTGGTCTCCGTTTTTCTTGACAACCACAGCCATTTGAACATGCTCCGAATCACTTGGGAGCCCATGGGGCGACCGACTGACTCTTTGTGAAAGGCGGAACGGACTATGGGCTGTCTCACGGCGCTTCGGCCAACGAAACCGCAAAAGAAACAAGGAACAGGGAACCCCCCAAAACACAAAAAACCCAACGGTGGATAGCCCAATGCAGGGCACGGTTTAACACACTCGATTTGCCTCACCCACAGCCATAGCGATCCCTCTTTCGAGCGCCAGTCCCCGAACCTTTCGAGGACTTCGACGCCCAAAAGACCAAGCTCGAGGCGGAGCTGGGCATCAGGCGCGAAGCGAATCGGAACTCGGAGCAGTCGGTCGGTCGGTCGGTCGGTCGGTCGGTCGGTCGGTTGGAGACTGCGAAATCGGAGGGGTGTGGTAGAAATTGGGTGTTTGTCGTTTTTCCCAATTCGGACCCAATTTGGTGGTTTCACTTTTTGTTTCCCTTGAAACCAACCCCTAAACGAAAAGACACCCGATCTAGGGGAAGCTCACTTTAAAGGGGACCTGGTGATGATTAAAGCCACAGGGGAGTTATTGGGACCGGTCCCTGACACGGGGACCGATGAGAAAATACCTGGGTAAACCTGAGGGTCGAAAGCTGCCTGGGAAAGTCCGGAGCGTAAAGAGCAAGAGTTCATGAGAAGAGGGTTCTCATACTGGGCAGCTTCGCGCATCGCCTGTTGCCAGTTTAACATGAGTTTCCTGGGGAAAATGGCGCCTGTCGCAAGTCTCAAGGTAAAGCGGCTTGTGATTTGTGTCAGAGACGGTTTCTGCTCAGGCCGACTGTATGTCGTTTTTGGGGCAGATCCTGTAGCAGGAACAAAATATGTGACCTTTGTTCCGGCTTTTACAAGAGCCTTGGACTTGCAGATTTGCTTGCAGACCAAAGGCCTCACTGGGTAGTTGAACTTCACTCTTGGAGTTGTTGTTTGTCTGTTCATTTTTAGAGGGCTGCAACAAAAACACACTGCTACCATATCAAGGGCGGTAAAAAAAAAAGCCAAGGACTCTGCCCCGAGCTGCAAGCTGATTCATTCCCGCCAATTTCTCACATAAAACTCGCGGTGGGGTCAGGAGCCTGCGGTTCCGGCACGTGCCCGGGTGCCTGGCGGAAGCCCTACGGAGCACCAAGGCGCACTTCGAGTTTCGAGTTGTGTGGAGTTGACGACCTCTTTTCCTTTAAAGGGCTTGGTGGGCTCACCAAAGAGCGGTCAAGTCCCAATTTGAAATTGTTGAAGTGATAAAAACAATTGAACTAGCCGAACTAGCCATGGTTGGAAGAGCATTCCACTTTGGTATCAAGCAAATCTGCAACCATCCGCAGTTGGAAAGGGTCACCCCTGAAATCTAGTTTGTATGCTGTTTTGGGATTTTATCCCAGGCGCCTCTTACTCGAGGGCCCATTTCGTCCGTTTGAACATCGGACATCGCTTTCCCCGAGCCACCTAGGGTCATGACTAGTCAATACTCGCGCAACCGTCAAGCAGTGTAACGGGGCCAGTTTCCTTTGAGGGTGCTGTAAGAGAACCAGGGGGTGGTGAAAGCGAATAGTATGTGTTGATACTTGTTTGTTACGGGGTTGTTATGGGAACAACCGGGCAAGGCCATGAAGTATGAGGCGGATGTCCTTGGAGGTCCGGTTGAAATCATGGATCCCCATCGGGGTGGCGTTTCACCCCTACAGTAGGTAACCCTTCGATCCATTTACCCTCCCAATTAACATGGAACCGTTCGACGTTCGGGGTTCCTGGTTTGGACCATTTTCCTTTTAAAGGGACCACCTGTCATGTTAGCTGGTCTACTGGGATCGATTGAAAGACACATTAGCCATCCACTGGCTTTAGTTTGGTTCGAAACATGTACCAACAAAACACCATTGATTTGTCCGAGGGTAACGGTCATGACAGGGGTCTAACTGTACCATGTCCATTCAGTTCAGGCCCTTGTCAGAGAAAGGGGTGGGCAAGCCCGTCATTTTGCCGGAAACCACTGTCGTCAAGGAGCTTCGCCAGCGACTTCTGGGCCGCTTTGTGACGCTGAGCGGTTTGGTGGCGCCTTCGACCAAAGCTATTGACACATCGCAGGGTATGGTTTCGACCCAACTCGACCAGAACCATCCGACGAGTCAAATAGGGGACCTTCCCAAAATGGTGGGTTTCCTTTTCTGCCTTTGAACACCACTCCAAAAGTGGCATCCTCAACAAAAGAGGGGACCCCCATACAAGTTGGTTGAACTCAAGTTGGTTTTCCGAATTGAACCCACAAAAGGTTATTCACTTTTTGCGGAGGGGTCAACCGCAACCAAGAGACATCGACCAGAACCATCCGACCAAAACCTGGCTGTGTCTGTGTTTTTTGAGGCTTGGCACCCCTTTTGGTTGGTTAGGGAAAGCAAAAGGAAACTATGGGGACCCCGCGATCAACCCTTGACGGGGGTTCTCCCCAAGTTTAGTGGACAGCAGGATTCCAATAGGGCTATTCTAGTAGGTTCTGTTAGTCCTTGCTTCATAAGGGCTGTATAAACCTGGTGCCAAAAGTCAATAGGTGTTGGGCGCTCAAACAGAATTGCGGTGGATAACCCCAGATCTCTAAGGTTCTATTCTCCTTTGGGGATGGGAATGTTGAGCCCGGAGTACCTTAGCCGGGGCGCCTAAAGACGTTCCGTGGCCCCTGACCGAGCGTCGCCTTGTCAGATCATTGCCAGGCTTGAATAACATCCACCCAAGCGGGACAAATGACGGACCCGTTTTCAACTTGCCAGACTTTCGGCCCACCTTTCGCCACAAGGAATTGGCACTTCGCTGGGATATGGCTCATCTATGCAATGTTTTGAGTTTGGCAGGCATTGGGTGAACATGTGTCATTAATAGTTATGTTCTGACATTTTGGCTCAAGTATGAGCCAAACTGGCAGACACACCTTTTTGGTTTCCAGACATTTACTAGAGTGGGACTCTGGCATGTCGGATGCAGATGAGGGGATGGTGGTTGTCCACACTAAGGCGCGCATGCTCCACCCCGCGTCCCTGTGGCAGGACCGGTTACCCGTGGGGAGCAGGGCCAAGCTTGCGAGAGATTCCTTGTGTGGCCACCGCTTGTGAAAGATGCAAGCAACAGCGTGGAGGTTTCCAATTCCCGTTCAAGATGGATGCAGGCCACACTTCTGCTGTCGAGCCACATGGCCCGCTTTGTCGGCTACATGGAGCGGGCCGGCGTCGAGGATTGCGGCGTTGACCGGCAAAACCATCTTTTGGGTGTGGCGGTGCTGGCAGCCGAGACTCTTGGAGAGAGCCGGCGTATGGGAAAGTTGCGATGGTGTCTATTCGTTCCGTCTGGGATCTATGCTCGTATGGCGGGGGCGCCAGCCGGCAGTCAGATACGGAGTCAGCGATGGCATCTGTGGCTGCACGGCGCACGGCCAGGTGGCGTCGGGAGCATGGCATGACTAGCGACGCCGCCTTCGCATTTGGGTCCTTTGAGGAGGCGGTCTGGGGCCTGATGCATACCG